CTTGCCACTGCATCAATGCAACAGGCCAGTCGGAGGCGCTGATGCGGAGGAACAGCGGCATGGAATCTGGGATAGTGGCACGCACGAGGTCGACGATCTCGAGCGTGAGGCGGACACGGTTTTCGAAGGAGCCGCCGTATTCGTCTGTGCGCTGGTTGGAGACTGGCGAGGTGAATTCATGCAATAGATAGCCGTGCGCGTTGTGGATTTCGATTACGTCGAAGCCGGCACGGAGGGCGCGCTTGGTGGCTGCTACGAATGCGGCTTTGAATTCTTCGATGTCGGCCTTTGTCATTGCTTTTGGGGTTGGCAGGCGGTCGGAATGTCGGATCGCACTGGGTGCTTTGACGTTGTCTGGCCAGCCGCCGACGATTTCACTCGCTATGTGGGGCGATGGTGCTGGCTTTGCGGCCGGCGTGGCCGAGTTGGATCCCTATCCTTTGGTTTTGAGAATGGGCGAATTCTACGATTCGGCGTAAAGGCGCGATTTGGCTGTCTTTCCAGAGACCGCTGTCTTCTGGCGTGATGCGTCCTTCGGGTTGGACAGCAGTGGCTTCGACGAAGGCAAGGCCGGGCCCACGTTGGATTATGCCGCCCAGGTGGGTGAGGTGCCAGTCTGTTAGGTGGCCGTCTTGGGCAGAGTATTGGCAGAGGGGAGAGAGCTGGAACAGGGGTCAGTGAGGCTGTAATGTTTTCCCCAGGGAAGTTAGGGACTGACAAATATCCTATTATGAAAAGTGAGGCCACGAAGTGTGAGTGGTTGAAAGAGCTTAGGGATGGGCGAGCCATCTGACTGAGGGTCTTTTGCTGCGCCGCTGGAAGGCTCCTGAGCTGGGGTATAGTATGAAATTCCCGGAGCTGGTTTATTCGGAATGTTTGGATAGTTCGGCGCCGCCTTGAAGGCCTCCTTTTCGAGGTTGTGCGATGCCATGACCGAAAGAGATTGATCTTAACAGGGGTTGGGAGAAGGCAGGCAGAAAAGGAGGTGGAAGACAACACAATCGAGGCACAATATGAACAGAGAGAGAGGGAGAGAGAGGGAGGGAGAGGGAGGGGGAGGGGGAGAGGGAAGTAAGGACAGGCTCGTCAGCAAAGATTACCAAGCAAACTGGGGCTTCGATAGAAACATAGAAACGGATCCGCAGGAACTGCCTCCATCTGCAGCATAAGATCGGCGGCGTTGTAAGCAAAACTGAAACCCTACGACAACTTGCCGGTGATAGACCCTACCCATGACAAAAAATGCTCTAACCATCATCCTCACTCTTGTCAGGGGCTAACTGGGCCAGGAACGCAGCATGGCGTCAGCTCGCAAGTTCATGATTGGCGGACAGTGTCAAGCGGGAAAATCATCTAGCCGAGGATAGATCGAGACCATTTTCTGCTTCAGGAATAAGGGCTTGCTTATTGCGTATTGCGTATTGCTTATTGCTTAGCTAAGCGTGGTGTTGAGATACGAGACGAGCGGTACGAGCAGTACGGTTGTGAATAAGCTGATGGATGAGGGCGACAGAGTGCCACGGAGCAACAGCATGCGCTGCTTTGGGTAGTCATGATTGATGCCTTTAACTATCAAGCTCGGGCAGATGTCCCGGGTGGAGAATGCATGTTCTGCCATCTTCTCGACGCTCATGCTAGACCAAGAAAATGCCCGCCATGCCCGCCATGCCCGTCCTTCATGTGCTGCCCATACTCGTACCGTCGCGCCATTGCAATGCAGACTGCTTATAGAAAAAGGAAAATCGTTTCATCAGACATTGCGGCATCATCTTTCAAACATTACCAATAACGACCATGTAGCGCAACTTGCCATCCTTTCCACTCTTGGCCATGCCATCCAAGCCGGTGATCCCATCCTCCAGCACCATCTGACTGCTCTTCCACCCCCAGCTTTGGCTGAAATTAAACTTGTCGGGCGCGCTTTCATAAACACTGAGCATCCGTCCTGCTCTGCTAGGCGAGTAGATTTTGAAATACGTCTTGATCGTTGGGCGAGCATCCACGTATGGCGGCATAGCCGACACGTTGAACTTCTTGCCCGTCTTGAATCGCTCTTCATCCTCTTCCTCGGAATCGATAACATGAGAAGCCGCTTGTCGTTGTGACAGAGACGCCGGCGCACCGCTATCGGGAGTTTGAGATGTCTTCTGCGCCCTGGCAAGAGTGACAGGCCTGCCAGACATGCCTCCATCTCTTCGTGCCGCTGATTCGACTTCCCCCACAAGTGAAGCATCATTGTCCCCAGATACACTGACGTCGTCTTCCATTTCACCTTCCGGCCCGACTGTCGTGTTCGACGAGCGCCATGATTGATGCCTTCGCTCGTTGTTCCTGCGCATCAGCATCTCTCGCTCGAGATGACCGATGCGGTCGTCCACTGTGGCAGAAGCGAGGAGTGCCAGTGGATCATCCGACGGCTCTTTGTCCTTGGCGCGATGAAGGTAGATCCCGAGCTGTTGGTTCTTGGATGTATTGACCCGCTGTATGTACAAATTCCACATACTGCCAGCGTACCACACGGTTTGAGAGTAGACCCGTTTCTTCTCTTTCAGTGTTCGCGGATTTGGGAACTCGGCAGAGAATCGGAATGGTGGGTAGTGGCTGTATCGTGGAATGCTGGATCTGTCGTTGTGGTTGCTGTGGGACGTACCCGGCGGTCCGTCGCCTCCACTGGCTGTAAAATCCATGGCCCATTGCACGTCAGCCGGTTCTAGACTAGCAGATAAACGAGACATGTGTGGGCTCCAACCACTACCTCCGTTTGATGTTGCCGTGAGATATGTTTCGCTAGCACCGCCCATGACGCTTGAGGAATCACTGGTAGGTATCCAAAACTTTCTGGGCCTTCCATTACCATCCCAACTGCCGGACTCCATCTCTAGCTCTTGCTGCATGTGAGACTCTGGCTGCTTTCCTTTTCTGGAGCTGCATTCGACCTCTCTGGAGGAGTGATATTCCTCCTCATCCTGCTGTTCGGCTTCCTTGCTGAGTCCCAGTTCCATTTCGCCCTCCTGTGAATTGACTACCCGCTGCCGAAGTTCCATGGACATCCACAGCGCATCAGAGATTACCTTTTCGGGCAGTACAGGCACAGCAAATATATCCTTCTGCTGTCGGATGCGCTGTAACTGCTCGAACCGTAAGTGCACATAGTGGATTCCCTCATCAAGCAGGACGAGCAGAGGAGCTATATCGGGCGACGTATATAGTCCAATCCATGACTCGTCCTTATCAGCACTGCCACGGCCAGAAATCATTAGATCCCTTCGATACGTCGTATCAAAGCGGACAGCAAAGAAATTGAGCGTGGTTGGCTTCGGTTGCAGGTATCTTCCACTGGCAGAAATCAAGCCAGCCTCGATGGCCCGCGCCTTTAACCGCCGGTTGAGAAGCCTTAAGGCAAGGTACCACCTCTCCCACTCTCCCGGAACAAAAAATGGGTCGCCCCCAACGACTTCCCGAACGATCTCGGAAGGAATGTTGTCCCAATACTCGTAGGCCATCTCCCAACCTTCCCGGCATAACATTGCTTTCGCTGATGCTAGTATACGATCTCCAGCCTTGCCGTAATAATTGCTCGTTACCAACTTGATCAGCGAGTCCAGCTTTGATGGCTGCATCTGGCGTAGCAATATGTCTACACTTGAATCGACCATATTTGACATGTCCAGCCAACAGCTGGTTGCAAAGAGTCCGACAGCCTCCTGCTCTTCGTCAGCAGGGAGATAGCAGCCGTAGACGCGCTTCAGAGCAAGCTCGAAGGCGGCTTTGGTAATGTTGGAATCGATGTCTTCGGGGTGGAGTGTCATTTCCCTAGCCGAGCTTTCCGCCCAAGGCCCTGAAAAGGCAGAGGAGAAGAATGGCACGCGGTCGAGCAAGAGGCGATGGAGCCTATAGCTACTTCCGAAAGCATGGATCGTGATATCCGAGTAACGCCCATCTAATAGCCCTCGTTGCAGAAGGTGCCCAGACAGAGTCGAGACATCGCCATAACTTTTCGGACTGCTCAAGCTCCTGAAATACGATACGTCTCTTGACATACTTTGAGGCGTCCCATTATCCGCAGCAAAAAGCTTTGATAATGTCGTGGACGTGTTGTTCTGCGGACTATCATTGGTGGTGAATTGGGTCGTCGAAGGGTCATCCACATCTTTTTGCAGATTACGCCGCCTGATCGGCACAGGAACGGGTGGAGGATCACTTGATCTAGATGGGTTCCTGCGGCTGGAACCCGCATTGGTCGCAGATAAGGCAGCAAGCGGTCTCGAACTGCTGGAAGGGCCAGCTGAACTTAACGACGCCTGGGCAGTGTTGGCAGACACCGAGGCTGTGGGCGGTCCCGATGAGAATATTGACCTTGAAGGAGTATTGAACAATGATGACTGTGGAGTAGTATCACTAGCTGGGGACGGAGCAGGCAAATGACTGGTCGATGCGGCTATCTGTTGCTGAGCAGGTCGTGAAGCAGAGCTGGTCCGCGGCATAGGCGAGGGCGGCAAGCGGGGGGAATTGGAAGCGGCATGTGGAGGAAGGGGAGAATATGGGGGCAGAATCCACGACGAATCGGCCTGCGGAGGAGGTGAGCGAGTGGAGGATTCCACTTGGGTGCTGACGAGGTCTGCAAGTATATCGCGAAGAGTGCCATCAGAGTCAATGTCATCTGAGCGACCAGCTCCTGCCATGATGGAAAATTGTGCCGAGTCTACTGCTGAGTGGGTTGGCGGGAAGAAGTATAGAGTCTGAGCTGGTCGAAAATAGATCAACCTAGGCGCAGGGCGAGTGGGAGAAAGGGTCACGCGGTGAGATTGTCTTAATCGAGTATCGGGCTACAATGGGATATAGCCTCAGAGTCTGTAAATTCAGCTTTTTCGATGTGGAGAGGTGGTGGGTGTGCGGTGAGTCCAAGGCGTGCCAATTGGCCCCATGCAGGAAAGCAGGGAGGGAAGCGGCCAGCCACGGGATGGTCAAGTGCTTGTTGAGTATCACAGGTCACAATCTCAAAACCAGTGCAAGAAACACCACCGAGAAAGAAGTTTGGTAGAAGATTGGGGAGGTTGAGGAGGTTGGCTGTCAATTTTCATCGTGTGTAGTAGTGGGTCCGTATTTGATTGAGGATTTGAAGCAGGCAAAGAAAATTGGCCAACTGACCTCGGATCGTCAAGGGCCAGATGAGTCTCCACACTAAGCAAGGAATCAAGATGGGGGAGGGCCCGATGATCGACTTGCAGGGTGTCATCGTTGCCTAATTACACCCGACTGGCCGTGAGCACATAGCGGTGCGAGTACCTTTGTATGGTCCTCCGGTCCATCGTACTGGAAGTGTGCCTCCACAATGCCACCACCGTTGCCGTCGTCATTTCTACAAGCTCTACGCCGAGCAGCTCCGTTGCTATCTCGCCAGCTATTCCCATCTCAGCGATGTCTTCAATTGTCCACCAGAGCAATCCCATCCCCCAGACCTCTAAGAGGTGTGCCCTCGCGCCCCAAGCAGCAGATTGGCCCTCTTGTGGGAAGGATTCAACGTCTCTCTACTGCTGCAACTTTCGAGACTACTTTACCGGCTGCGGGCAAGCTCAACTCAGCGTCACGTTTCCCAGATTCAAGCTCTAGTGCTGTTGCCTATTGGCTGCTGGGAAGCGCAGCCAGTGTGTTTGGCATTGTGGTTTTTGGCGGCCTTACCCGTCTTACCGAATCCGGGTTTGGATCCAATCAGGTCTATCACTATGGAAATCATCGCTGACGGCTTCATCTAGGTTGAGCATCACAGAATGGAAGCCGGTAACAGGGTCCTTACCTCCACTGTCAGAAGCAGACTGGGCCTCCGAGTTCTTGAAATATCAGTCTTCCCCCGAATTTCACCTGCTCAATCCGCATATGACGCTCGATGAATTCAAGAGCATATACTGGATGGAATGGGTCCACCGCCTCTGGGGTCGCGCAATCGGCATTACCTTCGTCCTTCCAGCTATCTATTTTGTTGCGCGCCGTCGTGTCTCCAAGCCCATGATGCTCAGACTGGCCGGCATTGCTGGGCTGATTGGCTTTCAGGGCTTCATCGGCTGGTGGATGGTGAAATCTGGGTTAAAGGACGACCTCTTCGCCTCAGGTTCTCATCCCAGGGTCTCCCAATACCGACTCACCGCTCATCTCGGGGCTGCTTTCCTCTGCTACACCGCCATGCTCTGGAATGGCCTGTCTATCCTTCGAACCAACAAGCTTCTATCAATGAACCCCACAATGGCCTCTCAGACGCTTGCCTCACTTTCCTCTCCGCAATTGAAGATCTTCAAACGTTGCGTGGCAGGTCTCGCTCTCCTCGTCTTCACAACCGCCATGTCTGGTGGTCTCGTGGCTGGCCTGGACGCAGGGCTGATCTATAATGAATTTCCCAAGATGGGTCTCGGCCTCACGCCGCCGAAATCTGAACTTTTTGACAAGTTCTACTCCCGCGATCCAGATCAGAAGGACCTTTACTGGCGGAATGCGCTGGAGAACCCGTCGCTGGTACAACTGGACCATCGCATTCTAGCTACAACTACGTTCACTTCTGTGATGGCTCTGTGGGCCTACAGCAAATTCTCCCCAACCATACGCGCGTTCTTACCTAGAGCCGCCAAACGTGGAGTGCATGGCGTTGTAGGCTTCGCCTGGTTGCAGGTAATTCTCGGCATCAGCACTCTGATCTATCTGGTCCCATTGCCATTGGCAAGCGCACACCAGGCAGGAAGCTTGGCTCTGTTGACCTGGACGCTCGTTTTGGGCAGTCGAGTGTGGTATCCGTCGAGAGCAGCTCAACTGTTTGCACAGAGGCTGGGTACGGTGAGGTCTACTGGTGTAGGCGGCGGGACTGCAGGCGTTGGCAACGGTCTTCCACTTGGGACAGTCGCTGCAGCGAGGACTGGCAGGCACTTCCTGAAGAGACCGGAGATGGTATAGCACCAAAGGCATTCCATTGTCAAGTTATCACGCATATAGCAAAAGAACTTGATGCATAAGAACCGGACGAATTATGTTTATGCCGAACGGGCTACGTATCATGTGACTGATAGAACAAACCACTCATAGAAGAACTCATCAGAAACACTCTCGCACTCGGATCTCTCAAGGTCACTCTTTCTCGCCATGCCGGAACATTCCCATCACCGAAGACAGTAACCTCAGTCTGTACAGACTGGATATGTGACAAGGAGTAAGGCAAGTCAATAAGAGCGTACGTAGCAGTGGTGATTCCAAGACGTTTACGGAGTTAATACGGAGTAGTCATTTGGGAAATGAGCCAAGCTGGAGCTTCGTCAGCTGCTTCAAAGCAGGAAGAGGCCCTTTTAAAATAATGCTAGAAATAATGCTAGGAGAGCCATCAAAGTGCGCTTACGGGGTAAACTAAGCATAATCATAAGAGTGCTTACGTACTACGTAGTAGAATGTACAGGGATATGCAGCTTAGTCGTCCATGACCCAATGAAATTTTATTATCTACATCGTATTTTGCTGAAAATATGATCATAATATGATCAAAATATGCTTCTCTTCTCGTATTAGTATGGTCATCATCTGACAAAATAGCTGCCATTTCCACTAACGGCACTTAGCTCATATCTTTATGTAGTAATTACTAGTACTAGCTACCCCTTCGCCTGGTAAGTGGGTGGATTCGAATTCCTTTTTTAGCAACGTGCATTGCCTTGGCGGCAGTTTGGTACTTTGCAGTTTGCTGCTCCCCCAACACCAAAGCTAAGCTACAACACTACTATGCTGTGCCACTGCGACTCTTCTGAAACCCGAGATTCCACAAACGCTCGCCTCATGGGCAAGTCTTCCTTGTTCACCGCATCATGATTTGATAGGCCTCCATCTGCCTTTGTTGTAAACAATGCCTCCGCTGCATTACGTATCATCTTTCTTTTGTCCTTTCCCGTCTCTCCTAAAAAACGCGACTTTCCATTCTGTTTGGGTTCCATCCTCCTGTTTTGTCGGTTTTAGGGGAATCAAGTGCCATCTGGATAAGTGTTGAACGTTTGCTACTTTTTTGGGCCACACTCCCTTCACCACCAATCTTCTCCTCGACAAAATGCAATGCCTGGCCGTACTAGCTACACTTCTCGCCCTCACCTCCGCAGCCGCAGCCGTGTTGGAACCTCGCCAGACTACGGCCTGTAATAACTCACCCGATCTGTGTTCCAGATCATACTCTGCAATCACCCATCTCGGTGCTCATAACAGTCCTTTCCTCCGCGATGCCTCCACGAGCTTCTCTACGTCCGGCAATCACTATTTCAATTCTACGATTCAACTCGACGCTGGCGTTCGGATGTTGACGGCCCAAGTCCATCGGTCAGACCGAGGATGGCTGCTTTGCCACACGTCGTGCGATCTGATGGATGCTGGCTTGCTCAGTGACTGGCTAGGCGAGGTTAAAATATGGATGGACAACAATCCGTCAGACGTTGTTTCGCTTCTCCTGGTCAACTCTGATAATGCAACACCTGGCGACCTCGCTACGGAGTTTACCAGATCGGGAATCACAGAATACTCCTATACCCCACCTTCATCGACTGCCCCTCAGATTACCTGGCCCACGCTACAGGACCTCATCTCCGCCAACACTCGTCTGATGACCTTCGTTGCCTCACTAAATCCCAGCCAAGTCGATAGCACTAACGCGTATCTCATGGATGAGTTCACATTCATCTTCGAGACCGCTTTTGATAATACCGATCCGAGCAACTTCACCTGCACGGCCGACCGCCCGTCTAGTCTTCGTGGCCGGACTGCAGAAGCCGTCTCCTCTGGTAGAATGCCACTGCAGAACCATTTTCTCTACGATACCCAGCTATTTGGCATTGAAGCTCCCGATGAGGCGAACATCACAAGCACGAATGCACCAGCCGACAGACCAGGCAATATGGGTGACGCAGCAGAGGCCTGCCGGAGGGAATGGGCTAAGCCACCGGTCTTTATCCTAGTTGATTTCTTTGATCAGGGGCCCGCCATTGCAACAGTCGACCGGTTGAATGGTGTCACAAATCCGATAGGGCGAACTCCGCCTCCAGCAAGAGATACGATGACCAGTGGCGCAGGCAGCTCGCGCGCCTTGCCCCTGGGCTTGGTCACCCTTGTGAATCAAGTCAAAAATGGTGCCAATCCGAATCTGGGGGAATGGATATGGGCTGCTGCAGATTGGAGTAAGACTTTGGGCGGTTGGGATACAAGCCCATGACCCTACTTGTTGGCTCTTTTTTCGCATTTTGGCATGACCAAATACAGTATTAGAAGCCTAGAAGCATAGCGACGGTGTTTGAGCGGGTGGCTTTGCACATGTTTTTTTGAGACAATCTTTCCCTGCTGGGGCCAGAAATCTTAGGATTTAGATCAACAGACCCGTTACATAGAACTTGTGTGCAAGTGAACGTATAAATGAAAATAATATTTCAAATGGAGGTTCAGCTATCTGATCACCGATAATCATTGGGGATGTTTGTTTATCTCGTCGAATCGCTAAGTCAAAGCAGATTACACGGGATGATGTACCTTAATGTATGTCAGAGAAACAACCGAAGCTAAGTTACTTACTCTGTACCAAGCATAATGTCCATAACAGTCATATCCATTCATTTTAGATGCACTGGGGAAAGCAGCGCTCCCCCGAATGACATATCGTGAACTGTGATTTGAACGTGAAACGCTTTATCAAGGGCGCAAGGCGGACAAGAGTATTTTCAAACAAGAATGATATTCTATGAAGAGCTTTACGAATACAGATCCACTGATATCCCATCTTCGAGGCAAGAAAATGGATACAAGAGTAAAGGGCTTATCCGTAAATGTTGACTTCAATCTCCAATTGACGCGTTTGAGTACATTGAGGTATTACGAAACATCGTGAGCCTGGATTTGTCATATGCTGGACATTGTACGTGTAAGAGGCATCGGAAAACGATGAGGTGAGGCTGGGTTGGAGGGATCTACATGGTCAGATGCAACAGAACTGCGCCTAATGCTGTCGGTGCGAATCCTAGGTCCTTCTTCCTCTGAGTGAATCTCTTTTCGGTCAGCGTATGATCTCGATCTCAACTGACTCCTCATCACATCCAGCTCCTGGTCCTTTCCACGAAGGTTATATGCCAGGTGATGAGTCTCCTCCGTGAGGTGACAGATTTCTCGGTCTCTTCTTCGCACACGTGCCTGGACATCCGCTATCCGCTGCTGAAACTCATGTTTTTCTGCCGCACGTAGCGCCCGTTCGTGCTCTATTGCCTTGATCAATCGTCTATACTTCTCGGGCTTCCCTTTCTCAAGAGCCTGATGGCTGATTCGAAGCTTCCTCAGATCGCCGCTTGCACTCTTCATCTTCGTCCGGTAGCGATCTTCCTCCACGCGAAGCATTTCGACTGTTTCCATATCACGCTCCTCCTGCGCAAGGTCTGCGCTCCGCTGCACCTCGTCTAACTCATTCTCATACTTCTTGCAAGATTCTACAAGGCTTTGTTGCAGATAAGCGCCGGCCACCGTCTCGTTCAGATCAAGATGGTGATCCACCATCTGCTGTTGGATGTCAAGGGCAACCTTGGTCTTCTTATCGATCAAATGATTCACAATCACTCTGGCCGACTTTGGGTTACCCATGTGCCGGGCGAGTGTGCTTCCGTTCCTTTCCATTTCACCCCAGTATTTATCATCGTTGGCAAGGGCATCTAATCTTTCGTTCCCAATATCATCTCCTGTTCGACCTGGTGGGAGAGCATCCCACATCGTTGTTACCAACATGACATTCGAAAATGCATGCCTTCCACATAGTTTCTTAAAAAGTGTCAAATTCTTCATGGCTGACCCTTGCATCCTCACGTCCGTTATTCTGTGCAGGTAAATCAGGCCGTTGAGTAAAATGCCCCTACTGTAGAGCTTGTTGAAACAAAATGCTATGTCTATCAATACTTCAGAGTCCGAGCGGGTAGTGTCATCAAATCCCGGGGTATCAATGAGATATCCAGGATGACCACGGTCATCGCGAAAGGTGTAAACTTTGACATTGGCCGTACCTTCTCGAAGTCAGACAAGACACGCGCTTCTAGAAGCCAATACCATCTGGTGTCACCCACATGATTTCAATGAATGTCCTACTTCCACTGAGTCATCTGTGAGCAATGAAATGAAGGAGCTTTTGCCAGATCCCGTCATGCCTACAATGGCAATTACGACAGCATCATCTCTAGATGCCACAACATGAGCATTGATCAGCTACACCATGTATTTGAGACGCAATCACTTACGGAAAGGCCTGCTCCATCTCAAATTTCCCACCCATTCCGCAACTTGACTCATGAGGAATCTGGCTCATGCTCTGACCTGCACCCGGCTCTGTTGGAGTTTGGTATGGAATTGATCGCTCAGATGAACAGGGTCAAAATAGCCCCCTCCTTAGATAGCTCCTAGCTGAAGGGTACTACTGGGCACGAGTTACATCCCGGCAACATTTCCCATATCTTGGCATTGCTGCTGGACTCCGAGTCCGGAGCTGAGATCACTCGCCGCCACCTTGTCTTACAGCAGTACTTGGCAGAGCGACACAGCAAATTGGCGGCCAGTGCAAGCCCAAGGCCTTCTTGCACGACGCCCATACGCACTGCCACCACAAACAAAAGCACACGACCCGCCGTAACATTCCGCACTGCCCATCAGTTGGGCTGGTCGTCTTTTGGGCTTCTGCCTCGTATGCACTTTCGTCACACCAAGACCAATCGCTTGGCAGTACTTGCTTAGGATTCGACAGCCTGTCGTGGAACTGCCGACGTGGCTTGAGGCGGCGACTCTACGAGTGGGATCTACTACGTAGGTAGAGCACTAACTCACGGAAAGTGGTTGGACAGATATCGGCACAAGTATCAATTGGATACGACTGAGCACGCCCCGCTAGTACGCAGATGCTCTCCAGAAGTGATGGGTGAAGATAAAACATCCATTCAACTGGTCACTGGACCATTGAATGAGAGTCCGCGAAACCTCATCTGGAACAGGTGAGCCATCATGCATTTCTTGTCAGGCATTCAAATTGGCCTGGTCAGACTTTGGCCTTGGTACGATTGAGCAGGAGATAGTTAAGGCGATCAAAACTTCTGCATATTATTTAACGACAGTCTTCCATGATGAGCTCATGTCTCTACTCTATGAGATCTCATTTACTATGACTACAGCTTGCTTTGTCTGACGATAGGATGTCGATATGACAACCTGCACTCCTCCCGTAACGCTCGAATTGCCAACCAGCCCGCCGCCACCGATAATACGCCTGGCTAAGTATTGATCAAGTATGCCCGAATATGCCAGTAGTACCAATATCGCTCTTTACATTGTCTTACAACCACCTACATCCAATGGCGATTGGGGTTGCAGCTGGGGATGCGTTGGCTCTCTGCAGCCCTTGGGACCACATTTGCTACACAGAACGTACTGGTCGTTCTTGCAAAGGCAGCAGTCTAAGATTTGATATGTCAGTCAACGAGTTACCGGGTGGTCCCTGTCGTCACAGGTAAGAGATATGATGAAGTTTACTTACGGTAGTAGTCTGTGTAGTTGGTATACAGACTATGGAGGCGGCAACCACACCCGTCACAACGACGCTTCTCAACGTTTCGCAATTTGCAACGATGGCTGTCGACATTCCCTTGAGGCGGCTCTCGACATCCAGGGTCCTCATGTAAAGTGTATAACTTTTCCTGTTTTCGAGCCCAACGTAATTCCTCCAGCTCCCGCTCCTGGCGCTCCACTTCTCTCTTCTGCTGTTCTATCCTGGCCTGATGCCGCTTATCTTGACGCTCCTCCTCATCTTGAACTTTCCGAGCGGCTTCACTGCGTTTCTTTTCGGCCTCCCGGCTCTGCTGTCTAAGCTGCTCTCTTATCTCATTTTCTCTTCGAAGGATTTCCGCTGATCGTCGATTATACTCCCTTTCAATCTCCTGGTCGAACTCCGTCTCATACTCTGCGACTACTCGGTGAGATGCCGCAATATCTCCGACTGACCTGCCTGCTTGCATCTGCTTTTGCGCTTCAAGGACCGACCTGTTCTTCCGAGCGAGAGACAGAAGTAATCTCCTAGAAGACTCTTCGTCCTCGTCGAGACGTACCAGCTGGGATCCCCTCTCCACTAGTTGGCCCCAGAATTCATTGTTATCGCGAAGCTCCTTCTCCCGTTGCGCGCCCAGTGCAGGATTGATGCTGCACCAGAATGTCGTGGCTAGGACCACATTCTCATAAAACGCTGGACCACAAAGCCTTCGGAACATGCGCATGTTTGAAAGAGCTGAGCCCTGCATTCTTGGATCGATGATACGATGAAGGTATAAAATTCCACTAAGCCTTGTACCTTTTCGGAACGAGGCTCCGAGCCACATAAGTATCTTGCTGAGTATGATCTCGTCGCTGTCTCTGTTGTCATCGAATCCTGGGGTGTCGACAAGAACAAAATTGATGCCTCGGTAATGGAATCTATATGACTGGACTTCTTCGGTAGCTACACGGGAATGCTGTCAGTGCTTTGGGTCAGCAAATAGCATCGGTCAACTAACCACAAGCGAGTGAGTGGCCGATCAAGATGTCTCTGCGACCAGTCACCCTTTTGATGTAAGAGCTTTTCCCAGCTCCAGTAGCACCCATCACAGCAATCACAACATCGGAACCTTCACGGTCCATATTTCTGCGGCGCTCCCTGGCTACCTCGCTTCGCCTAGTTTCTAGTGGATTGGAGGAATGGAGATGGATTCTACTTGGCGTGAACAGCCTCGTGAACGGCTCGAGTCAAGCAATGACCATAAAGACAGTCAACTCAGGTAACAACAGGGATTGAAAGATCCAGCCATGCAAAGACAGAGGACATAGCTATACTCGCGCGGAATCAAATAAGAGAGTGAGGCAATGCCCGAGGCTGCTCAACTAAGTCCCTGGATTAAAAGAATTGACAATACACAGCCAGAAATGACACTTCATGTCCACTTAGACATTCGATGTTATGATGGAGCCTCTTATTACTGTGGTGGCTGAGCATCCACCACGTTCGTTACGGAAGAGCCACCTCAAGATTCAAGTCACCGTATTTCGGCTTGGGACGGAGCTCTAGAGGGTGTATCAGGAGCATGCTGCTTTGGAATGTGTTTGTGAATACAGTCTGGTGGAAAGCGTCGTCGTGTAATGCAACAGTCCACACCAGTTACTGGCTGCGCCATCTTGGCTTCATAGCCACTCCCCAAAGGCTTGCCGCGTAGAGCAAGAGGCCACGGCCTGGTTTCATATTTTCGTGTCACTCTTGGCATTCTGTGGGTGTGGTAAACAGATGCAAAGAGCGCCACGATCATGAAGTCGGGCTTTCGGGCCCCCAAGCTAACGAGCGTTCGTCTACCCACAGCGACACACACGGAAGTAATGTGCATACTGAACCTGTGCACGTGCAGTACTTTTGAGGCTAGCCTGATGAAACCAATTGCCTTATAGCGGCTGTGCTTTCTTGCGGCTCCCCTTTTGAAAGGTCTCATAGCCCAGGATGACCTTTGAAAGCTACGCCGCTAAGATGGCTTGCAGGAAAAAAGGGCAGCCATGTGTGTGGGCATTGCTTGCGACGAGGCTGAAATTTGTGCACAAGACGTATGCTTATCTTCAGAAAATTCCCTCAGAGTCATGATTTATTTCTCAATCACTCGGCTCTTCCAACATTTACCATATAAATTAGCCGCCTACTCCTTGATCTATCTCAGGCGGCTCCTCAAAAAACACATTACTCAAAGACACTGAAGTATTAATTTGCATTCATGCCAGCGGTTATGGACTATGACTTGAGGTTCGTGATGTCCTTGAGGCCTCTGTTCAACGCGAGGCAGGTCGGTACCAGCCCATGCTAACGTGTTCGACCAGACCCGACGATACTGTGATCGCCCTCATGGGCATCACAGGTGTGGGGAAGAGCACCTTTATACAGTATTTTACTGATGACATTGTGGAAGTGGGCGGGTCTCTGGAATCTTGTAAGCTGATCACGACTCAGCGATTGCTTCAAGAATGAAGCCGTAGAGACTCATTGGAGATTGTCATAGGTACCGCTGCGGTGGGCATATACCGATGCTACACCAACTCAATCGGCAGGTTTTACCTTATCGATACCCCTGGATTCGACGATACGCACAAATCTGATACCGACGTTCTTCGTGAAGTCGCGTTTTGGCTCAACGAAGCTTACCGACGCGACGTCAAATTGACTGGAATCATTTACCTGCATCGCATCAATGATGTGCGAGTGGGCAATGCGGCAATGAAGAATCTTCGAATGTTCAAAAGGCTTTGCGGAACCGAGAGTCTGGCGAGTGTGGTCCTTGCTACCACTTTCTGGGACAATGGACCAGACTTTCAAAAGTATCTTCAGCGAGAACATGAGTTGAAAACGAAAGACGACTTTTGGAGGGGCATGATCCAAAATCAGAGCAAGGTATTTCGCCAGGACAATGGACGCATATCCGCAACACGCATCATTGAGTATCTGGTTCGACGAGACCGTGGACCCACGAGAAGTCGCCCGACATTGGATATCCAGAAACAAATGGTTGACCAAAGGAAGCCCTTGGATGAGACCGGAGCTGGCCAGGAAGTACAGGTCTGGCTTACACAACAGCGGGAAGCATATGAGAGGAAGCTCGCGCTGATGAGGGTGGAATGGGAGCAAGCTCTCCGGGAAAGAGATAAAGAATGGCAGAGGGACCTGAACAGGAATATCCAAGAGATCGAGGCGAAAATCAAGCGAGACGAAGAAGATAAGATCAGATTACGGGCTGATAATGCTGCGTTACATCAAGAGCATGAAGAGCTCTTAAGAGCGAGGGCGAAGCAAATCGCCGATCAACTTGAGCATGAGCGTGCTTTGCAACAGCAGAATGCTTCACATGCGCAGGAATTGCAGCAAGCCATTGACGCGGGAGAAGAGCACAGGAAGAAGCTAGAGATCCAAAAGAGGAAATATCAGCAGCTGGTGAATTACAGATGCACGGTGATGTGAGGGTACGCCCGTTGTCCAGAGACCGACTTGGTCTGCGGCAAGCAACTGTCATTTATGATGTATTTTTTTCTAGCGTCTGGTTTGCCCTTGATTCTCTTCCACTGATGTACGGAGTATGGGAGTATGAGAGGCACGAATGGTAATAGGGTTATAACGGCTCGACAGGATAAAAGTGATGATTGGCGCAAAATTTTGGTAGTCAAAAATTGTAATTCAAAACCGCATGATGCTTGAGCCAGCTCGCTTTTTAAGCTGCTGTTTGCCATGAGATTTGTGCTCAGAGTCAGACATTCTTAGGGCCATCAACAAACCGTTTTCAACAACACGTAATGCTCAGTCCTTCCAATCAGCACGAAGGATGACCTTTCTAGAGGTGATAGGATTGGCCGTTCTGATAGTCCCCGATCTCCAGGCACTATCAGATCTCTCAGCAGATCAAAAAAATCATTGCAGAAACAAATGAGCGTCGAACAAAAATAATGGCAGCTCTTAAAGGAAAAATTTAGCGAAATTTATATATATCATCTGACCTTAGAATTTTAGTGTGTTGTCTCTCTAAAGGATTTTTCCAAAAATTAGCTATATGTACGGCACAACATACTCTTTCGAAGCAGTACGTAACTGAAGCTTGAGTAGGTTTAGGTAACATTAGTTTCTGACTGAGTAATTCGTAGGACGATTGGAGGCCGCATGATTGTAATAGGTAGCAGGGATGAAAATACATCAGGCTTGTCGAAATGATAAAATGATTTTGGCTAGTATGAAACTGTTGCTACAGTAGGTACTTTACATAGAATAGGCTTCAGTCATACAAAATAAGGAACTTGCTCGTGGTACCATATCCTCCACCCAAATCCGGAGTCATCTGATCCATGAAAGCTGGCTGACACTATCACCCCATCTCTACTCATATATCAGATCAACTTGCCCTTCTTTCCATACTCTCTTCGGGCTTGCCCAGGCTGCACCCACGCGCAATCATTTGGGGTTCAGGGCAATTGGATCTTGTGTCCTAATACCCGTATAGTCGGACATAAGATTTTTTCCCCCTAGTTGCTAGTTACACATTACTGTACTCCGTAGAGATGATTTATTTAGTAATTCTGCATGACGCTGACTGCTTGGCCCTCACAACAATCGATTTACAATGTTGCAACATCATTTTCATCGGACTATAAGCGAGTGCAAAGCTACTTCTCTGTCTCTCGATTCATACATCTGATCCTGTCACGTGTACGTTGTAACACAAGCCTTGGGGTCGACTTCTACCCCGGTCGTGTCACGCGAGCCATACGGACAATGACCATCCCACGATAGGCGGCTACATCAAACAACAACATCTTTTCTCTCTGTCAGACTCATGCACTACTGTCGACATGGCATTCAGCTTCAATTGGTCGCCTTTGACCGCCGACGCATCATTCTATGCGAGAGCTCAAGAACTGTTGACGACCGCGTTGAATAAGTCGCCAAAACCACCGATCATCGTCGACGACATCTTGGTCAACGAGCTTAACCTAGGCCATGTACCTCCTGAGCTTGAGATTCTGGAGATTGGGGATCTGGCCGAAGACCGATTTCGAGGCATCTTCAAAATGAGCTACAATGGGGATGCATTCTTGACCCTGAAGACCAAGGTCCAAGCAAACCCGCTGAATACGTACCTGTTGACGCGGCCTTCGTTTGCTTCCCCACAACCTCTGGCAGCAGCGTGAGTGGCAGCACTTGCAGTCAAAAAAGCTATTAACGTCAATCAGGACCGGCCTCACCATACCTCTACAGATCACATTGTCTGAGATAAAACTATCGGGCTTCATCATACTTGTCTTCTCGAAACAGAAAGGCCTGACATTAGTATTCCGAAATGACCCTCTTGAGTCGCTCAAGGTTTCGTCCACCTTCGATTCAATACCATTCGTTAGGGACTACCTGCAGAAGGAGATTGAAGGCCAACTGCGGATCCTGCTTATGGATGAGCTGCCAGCCATAATACATCGTTTATCCCTTAGACTATGGGTGCCAGAATATCGCGCAAGAGAGGAGCAGGAGACATCGGAGGCTTCTACATTATCTCAGGAAGAGCCCATCATTGACCCATTTGCTTCTCCTCCCCAAGATCCTGTGGACTCCCATGGTCATAAGCTAAATCCATCCGAGATCGCCTCGTTATCGATAGAGACAGGCATAGAGACACAATCGTTGTTCTCGCAAAAGAATCTGCTACGCCTCGCGACCCTTACCGATTCACACAGAACGCTTTCCCTCTTCACGCCTTCATTTCAAGATGTTGTTTTCCGGGCTTGGGCAGGTCCTACGGAACGCGGGGAAGTTGGAGGACTACGATCGCCAGCTATCACACCAGCCTTGTCACGGAGTCACTCGTACTCTGCCAGCGCTAGTACAACTTACACATCCGACAGTGCCTCTCAAAGCAGGCCAGGCTTACAGAGCTTCGGATCGCATTCCTATGGTCTCGGTATGGGAGCGAGCCGGCAATCAAAGGGACACGGAGCTCGTCAGCGAAAGAAGCGCGTAGTAAATCTGCGGAAGAAGCCTCAGACGAACGAGAATGCATCTGTTAGTGAAGATGGATCAAACTTCACTGATAGTGCTAGTGTGACGGACAGCACTGGTGATGCACCTTCCATATTCTCTGCACCTCCTGCTCTGGCGCATGAGCCCCGTGACGAGGATGTCGACCCTGTAACACCGCAGCGGAGTCCATATGCAACGATAAGGCAAGGGAAGCGTGCCATTAGTGGCTTAAGCGATCAGACATGTGTCGGACGGGGCACTGAGGGATCGCAGCAAACACGTCGAAATTTAGCCGGTGCATTTATTACCAATATGCCTGATACCAGCCTTAACGTGAAGCGGGATACACTTAGCGATAAACGTGGTTGGGAATCCAAGCTGGAGCCACTGAATGATCTCGACGCAACCCCACGAGCATCAATGGTACTTCCTGAAAAGCCCAGTTTGACGCATACTCAGCAGCAAGCTCGTGTTGCCTCTGCCTACAAAGAGAAGCATCAGGAAGCTGGACCTTCATCTGCTGGTCAGAATGCTCCGCTTCCCAATTTCCTACAATTTATCACTGACCCAGGAAACGGGGGCACCATAGTGGAGCAGGCGTGGATGGTGAAGATGGCTGGTGAGATTGCCCGACGATATCAGGAGGAACGAGAGAAAATCAACATGGCTGGTGACGCTGAAGCCCCTCCTGCTTATGTTGGATAAAAAGGGTTGTCCGGGGCCTCCAATCCGTGTTCCCCTCTTACAGCTTTTCGCTCTCGCTTCATGAAAACTAGCATTGCACGGTCGAAGTGGCAATCCCAGGCATGCCACGATGAAATGATTGTATTGGCGCCTTTGATATCTTCAGATGCTCTTGGGATCCAATAGGAAGGTGATAAAGGTGTCATGGGGTGGTGTTGGTATGACTATCAGAACTCGCGGCTGAGCCTTATATGTATATATTATGTAGATTTGGTACACAAGTCCAATCTTTTCTGCAGACCATGTTCAGCCCCCTTTCAGATGAATAGTTGCTGAACTACAGACCACCACAATATTCTACGTAGTAATTTAGCGTTGAGGAGAGCTTGCCGCAGATGAGGGAGGTTGGAGTCTAATTAAGCAGAACTCTCAAACCGCATTGCTTCATTGCACTGTATTGCGTCTTTGTGCTTTGTATTGCAACCTTCACGGGTAGATCAGCCGTGCAACACTGGCAGCAGACTCTTGCTATTGAGGTGATGTCTTTCCTGAAGAATATCCTGGGTCAGAAACCGGCGCAAGAACCTCTTCCGTCAGTAGACTCTGGTAAGCTTTGTGCTCGAGTGCAAATTTCGAGACATTTGCTGATGAGTTGTTATGCTGCAGATTTCGCAGACTTTGCAGGTGCGCCGTCGCCGTCTCCAGTCTCTGTACCCTCCGCAAGCTCTCCTCTGCCCGCGCAGCCTACTGGCTTCCGAGGAGGCCCAGTCCCATATACGAAATGGTATCGGGTATGGGAACGGACTCAGTTATCGGACTTCAAGGGCGAACTAATCCTTTTGCCGTTCCTCATCCTTGCTGTTCTCGTCCATCTCTGGGGCACAAGGACCAATAGGAGGAAGTCGAAGCAGTGGATGGCTGCTCATGCGCCAGTGCTCAACTCTGAATTTGCGCTGGTTGGATATGACAGCAAATCCCCTCAAATCGAGGGTATTACGGCTGACAATCTCCCTGCGGAACTGTTGAAAGAGAAGACGGCGCAAGATTTTCAATCATATGCTACAGGCAGGCAGAACGTTGCATGGGTTGATTTGCAGCTCCGGCTTTTCAGGTTATCCAATCCTCCCCTGATGGGAGCAGAATGGCTTGTGTCTCTCTTCTTCGAGAGCTATCCAGCTCCAAGGCAGGTAACGGAGGCCGTCATGTATACATTTGACGGTAGTGAGAAGAAATTCGTCCTCCCAGGTGTTCCAGGGTCTAACGAAGGGGCTCCGAAGCCAGGGAATTCGGCCTATGATGGCTTTGTCTTTGCTATTGTCAACAAGACTGCCATGCGACATCTACGTGACGAACGCTACGACGTCTCTTTGACCTATACCAAAGACCATACAAAACTACCTGCCTGGGCAACCGTCATGAGTGAAAGTGCAGAGGTCACAGAAACAATGTTGACAAAGGAGCTTATCGCAGCTATCGAAACAGCTGGTGAAGCATTGGAGTATCTCATTGTGACTGACCAGCCAACCGACAAGCCAACCAAGCTGGAGGAGGCTGTTCCAAGGAAGCGACTTTATCTGTGTACGAAAGTGCCACCTGGTTCCGATTATTCCAGTACTCTTCCGCTCTTCCAGGCTTTCCTGCGTCTGCCCGATCATCTGGCCCAGAATGCCCACTTCCGGCCTGAAATCCTGAGGAAGTTGAATCAAACCCGCGAAGCAGAAATCAAGAAGCTAAAACGAGTTAGTGATGAGGAGGGAGAGGAGGAGAGGAAACGTTTGGCAGAGAAGGTGAAGAAGGAAGAGCGGGATCGGAAGATGAGAGGCATGACAGCGGAGGAACAGAGGAAATTTCTCGAGAAGGAGAGCGATCGAAAGCGGAAGAAAGACGAGAAGAGGATGACCAGGAAAGGATAGGATGACCCTCGGCCCAGATCGGTCTGGGTCAGACTTCCTGCAAGTCAACATGGGTAGGACGGTGGCCTATTTGACATGCGACGTTGATGATTTCTAATACTCGTATAAAGTGGCCACAATTTTGAGCAGATACAGCTAGTGAAAGCTGATCTACCTTATTTAGCGAGATTGCCTGCGAGGCTCTCCTGAGGCTATAACATGTAAATGGTGAAGACACCCATTCGCTTGCAGACATTGTACACCATAGAGTGAACCTTTTCTATTCCTTAGAGGCGCACGGCCAATCATAGAGCTGCATTTGCGGAGCTCGGAGGGACAGCTGCCGGAAGGCGATTCACAGCTTTCCATGACCCATGACAGTCTGATGCCTACAACCATGCTCAGGCATCCATAACTTCCTTTCTCGCTACTCTACGTTTGCATTCACTCCTCTCAAGTCCTCGTTATCCACTATGGACTGCTCCCACACAGAACTAGATTTCCAGCCACCACGGCCAAATCAATCCGTTTATCGAGAAGACTGTACTCAGTGCTTCGATTCAATCGACAGCCCGGGCGGCCTGAACGTGTGTCTTTCCTGCTTCAACGGCGGTTGCGTGGGAGAGCGAAATCATGGTCTTCTCCACTACGAATCTACCCAACATCCACTGGCCCTCAACATTCGGCGGACAAGGAAAAGGATCAATCGAGAAGAGCCGCCACAGAAGGTGTCAAAACTGGCTATCGCAGCGGAGACGGAGGAGGACCGGTATGAAACTAAAAAGAGGATCCTTTGCTATTCATGCCCAACGGAGAAGGTCAACACGACTGCCGGACATCTGTCTAGAGTGGTTGATGGAATCTTGAAAGCTATGACATTTGCAAGGCAGGAAGAGGTCAAGGCTTGGGAACAAGAATTCACGGAGTGTGAACATACTTTGTGTTTACAGCAAGAACCTAGCAAGCAGATACCTTCGCAGGATCTTGGTCAGTGTTCGATGTGTGGGCTCAAGGAGAACCTATGGCTGTGTCTCGAATGTGGCAATCTGGGCTGTGGACGAGCGCAGTTCGGAGGCGTCGGCGGCAATTCGCATGGTCTTGCCCACACGAAATCAAGCTCGCATGCAGTGGCCGTCAAGTTAGGATCTATTACACCAGAGGGTTCGGCGGATGTTTATTGCTACAAATGTGACGAAGAGAGGGTAGACTCGAACCTTGCGAAGCACCTTGCACACTGGGGCATCAACATAGCGGAGCGAGAGAAGACAGAAAAGAGCTTGATGGAAATGCAGGTCGAGCAGAACCTCAGATGGGAATTCTCGATGACCACAGAAGACGGCAAGGAGTTGAAGCCTCTCTTTGGGGAGGGCTTCACAGGTCTGAAGAACATTGGAAACAGCTGCTACCTGGCAAGCATAATACAATGCCTCTTCTCTCTTCCAGACTTCCGGCTTCGCTATTACCGCCCTCAAGACAGCCCACCAGCAGCTAATCACCCTGCTGAAGACCTCGAAACCCAACTTCGGAAAATAGCAGATGGTTTGCTGTCAGGACGATATTCGTACCCACAAACCGACGTTCAAGCTATCCCAGATAATCCCGAGGTACCGCACCAGATAGGCCTTGCGCCAGCCATGCTCAAGCATCTGATCGGACGCGGTCACGAGGAATTCTCCACGATGCGCCAGCAAGACGCCTTCGAGCTACTCCAACATCTCTTCAAACTCATCACCATATCCCAACATCCACCTCCCTTCCAGGACCCCATTAAATCCTTCCGCTTCGCTATGGAACAGCGCCTACAATGTCTAAACTGTCGGAAAGTCCGCTACCGCACCGACGAACAGGACAACATCTCCATCCCCGTCCCTGTCCGCCGCAAGCCAGCATCGGCTTCTACCACAAACGATTCAGAGACAAAAACCAGTCCACTGGCAGGCGCAAACTTCGAACCCGTGACCCTACAAGAATGCCTCGAAATCTTCACTTCCCCAGACACCGTCGAACTCACATGTCCCTCCTGCACCAGCAAAGCTGGCTTCACCAAGCAAACCAAGTTCAAAACCTTTCCCCAAAACCTCGCTATCAATGCGCGCCGCTTCGAGCTCGTCAACTGGGTCCCTACCAAACTCGACATCCCTGTCGAAGTCAGCGATGAAGTCTTCGACATGTCGAAATACAAGTCAACTGGACTGCAATCGGGCGAGGAAGAACTCCCAGAGGACGCGGACGTCGGTGCTGCTAACATTTCTGCCGGAAGCTCCGGCGCAGCATTTGTTCCCAACGCAATAGCTCTTAGTCAGCTCGAGAGCATGGGCTTCCCACGCGTGAGATGCGAGAAAGCTCTCCATGCTACGGGAAACGAGAATGCTGAGGACGCCATGACGTGGCTGTTTGCACATATGGAGGATCAGGATATCGACGTGCCGCTTGATCTTGGAGGAGGAGGAGGAGAAACCGCCCCAGCGATGTCTGGAGCGGGAAGTGGAGGTCAAGATCCCGAAAAGATCGCCCAGTTAAGCGACATGGGCATCACGGCGCCTCAGGCACGGAAAGCGCTGAGGGAATGCGGTGGCGATGTCAATAGAGCGCTGGACTGGGTATTTAGTCATCTGGACGACGCTGGGGATGACGACGTTGCTGCTGTTTCTGCTGCTGCTGCGGACCAGTGCTCCATGCAGCCGCGGAGCGAGATGGCCGGCTCAGCCGATCTCCCCGCCACATTCGAACTGCAGAGTATCGTCTGTCATAAGGGAGCCAGTATCCACGCCGGGCATTATGTTGCGTTTGTGCGGAAGGAGATTCCTGGTGCGGAAGGAGAGGGGAAGAAGTGGGTCCTGTTTAACGATGAGAAAGTGGTTGAGGCGGGCGATGTGCACGAGATGAAGAGGTTTGCTTATGTTTACTTCTTTAGGAGCGTTTGAGCGGGGTTTCTCTCTTTGTTTTTCCCTCGTGGAGATGGAGGGGGGGATGAAAGAGAGAGGCATGAGCTTGATGATGAACAAAGTATGGAAAATTGACGGATGGGGAAGCAGATTAGAAGATCGGTGGCGGAGGATAGTGTGGTGATGATGCTGAGGCCCAGTCAGGCCTGCAAGCTGAAATCAATAATCAATAGAGACATGCCTTCGTTTATCCGGATGGATTTTCCCCTTGCTGTCTGTCGTGGGTATCATGTAATATCGCTATGCATACATCTTATTTTGCTCTCATGCCGTCTTAGACACCTCGGTCAGGGACGCCATACGAGTAATTGCCTTGGTCCAGATCGCTGCTAGAAGCGTCGATCTAAAGTAAACGGGATCGATCGTCAATGCGTCTTGAGCCACGAGAGCATCTGCTCAAATGCAGCGGTCTGTGCGTCTTTGATCTTCGGGTTTTCGTACTCGCCTACCACTGCGAAGCCTGGTTGATGGGAAAACAAAGCGTTAGCCAATCGAGGGACTGGAGGACTACTTGCAGGAAGAGGGAGAGGAAGAGGAAGATCATTCTCGATCTGGAGGCTTACCATGTGGCACGCCTGGATATGTCTTGATTTCGTGGTCGATGTTCTGGTTCTGAAGATGTTTCCGTCCTTCTTCGAGGATATCTTCAGGAAAGAGCTGATCGTTTTCTGGTTGTCGTCAGGGTTAGCCGCAGTTGGGGTCGATGAAGGGGAGGCCAGTTTGACTTACCCACACAGACGATGCTCACTGGCGCCTCAATCGCCGTTATATCTTCACGGGTGACCAAAGTGGCGTGCGCAATTGCCCCAGCCTTGATCAATGGCCGCCTATCCGCCTTTACCTCCTCCTCATGCCTTCCCTCCGTCTCGGGACCCTGCTGCTTCCCAGCCAACATCATAACGTATTTCCCACCAAAGCAATAACCCGCCGCATATACCCCTCCACCATTCGCCACTGCATCCGCAAACTCATCCTTCGCACTTTCCAGTACCTTGTGCAGAATCGGTGCCACCTTCTCAGGCGTATGTCGGGCCAACCACATGTCGATCATGAAGCTCTTGGCCGTCTCTGCCGCTCGAAGCTTCACCTGCTCGATTAGCGAGACATTTTCCTCACCACCATTGCTGGCACTCTCTGCCGCTGAGGCTGTGGTATTTGGTGCTGGATCCCCACCAAATTGATCTGGCATCACGACCACGAAACCCTCGCCCGCGTACCTGTCAGCCTGCAGCTGGTTGTTCGTTGACTTGACACCTGTGCCCGGGGTAAGGAGGAGAAGCAGTTTAGATGGTGAGTGTGGATAGTCTGCGGGCTTGGAGATATAGACGTCTATGTCGTCGTTGAATTTGGTGAGCTCGCCGGTTGGGGTTTGTGATGATGGGGAGGGTCGATCGGTCGTGCAGTGCGCGTCCATGCCGCCCATGCTTGGGCCTGATTGAGCCGGGGAGTCTTGAGGGAAGATAGACGTGGAGGTAGTGGTGGTGGGCGGCTCCTGGGCATCGCTTTCCGGGGTTTTGGTTGCGAGGGGCGGAGAGGAGGACATGGTGGGGATGGAAAGAAGGGGGCTGATGTGCGCTGTGGATGGAGGCTCTACCTATCTTTGATGGAAGCGGTCTATAGAGGCAGAAGAGTCACAGCCATGTTGGGTCAATCAATTCCTGGAGAAGTGACCATGATAAACTCACAACCATGGGATTGGGGGCTGTGTGTGGTCTTGGAAGTGGTGGTTCTCAGGCTGTAAGCCCCACAAATTGACTGCGGGGCGGACAGGGCTATTAATGTACCTAGTGATGTATAACTAATCAGCGCGCTGCAACCTCTAAACGCGTTCTCCACAACGCGCTCCAGGCTACTGTTCACCTTTTGGGGCGCCACCGTCAACATTACAAAGCTTGGAAGTTCTCTTCACTGTACATCGCCCCGTCTTCCCCTTACAACTTGAACTCGATCAACGGTTTGTTCGCTGCTAACAGGCAAGATGGCGAATAATGCTGCCTCTCGCGTCGACCAAGGCTCCCTCGAAGCAATCTTCGATGGACCGCCAGGGCAACAACTGCAACCCATCGTGCAATGTGTACAAGTGAAACCTCTTGCAGGCTCTACTGCCCCTACTGAGAGGTACCGCGTTGTCTTCAGTGACATCAAGAATTTCGTCCAGACTATGCTCGCCACCCAAGCAAATCATCATGTCCACGAAGGAAAACTGAGGAAAGGATGCTTTGTGAGACTAAAGGGATATAACGCTAGCTTTGTCAAAGGAAAGAAGTAAGTCGTCACGCAGGTGCAGGGCTTCATTTTCGATGCTGATCATAGCAGAATTCTCATCATACTCGACCTAGATGTGCTTGAAGAACTCGGCGAATGCGAGAAGATTGGCGAGCCAAAAGCCTTGGAGGTCAAACCAGAGGAGGACAACAAGGGACAGCCGGGTACAATTCAAGGCAACGACTTCTACGGCAACAAAGGCCAAGCTCAGCAAAACAAACAGCAGAGATCAATTCCATCTCACACCAAACCTCCCTCATCTTCCGCCCACGCCAATATTTACCCTATAGAAGCGCTCTCCCCGTACTCCCACAAGTGGACGATTAAGGCCAGGTGCACCAACAAATCAGACATCAAGACCTGGCACAATCGAAATGGTGAAGGCAAGCTGTTTAGTGTGAACCTGTTGGACGAGAGTGGCGAGATCCGAGCAACGGGCTTCAATGATCAATGCGATCTGCTATATGAGCTGTTCCAAGAGAATAGTGTCTACTATATCTCGAGTCCTTGCCGCGTTCAGATTGCCAAGAAGCAATTCTCGAATCTCAACAATGACTACGAGCTGACCTTTGAGCGTGACACTCAAGTCGAAAAAGCAGAAGAGCAGGATGGCGTTCCCCAAGTCCGGTTCAACTTCACCGGCATCGCAGACTTACAAGATGTTCAGAAGGATACCACGGTAGATGTCGTTGGAATTCTGAAAGAGGTGGGCGAAACTTCTCAGATCACATCCAAGACTACCAGCAAGCCATACGACAAACGAGAACTCACACTGGTCGACCAAACCGGCTTTTCTGTACGCTTGACAGTCTGGGGAAAGACCGCCGCCAGTTTCGACGTTTCGCCAGACTCCGTAGTTGCATTCAAAGGCGTCAAAGTATCCGACTTTGGAGGTCGAAGTCTAAGTCTCTTGAGCTCTGGATCCATGACCGTCAACCCTGACATTGACGAAGCCCATCGTCTGAGAGGATGGTACGACGCCCAAGGCCGAACCGACACATTCGAGTCACACGCAAATCTGCAAGGTGCCAGTGTCGGGGCAGCAGGTGGTCAACGCAACGATTACAAAACCATCAGCCAAGTCAAAGAGGAGCAACTAGGAATGGGCGAGGAGGCCGATTTCTTCTCTGTCCGAGCCAGCATCATTTTCATCAAACAAGAAAGCTTCGCCTACCCAGCATGCACCACGGATAAATGCAACAAGAAGGTCATCGAGACTAACCCCGGTGAATGGCACTGCGAGAGATGCAACATCACGCACCCCAAGCCGGAGTATCGATACGTCTTGTCCATCAACGTCAGTGACCATACCGGCCAGATATGGTTGAGCGCCTTCAACGAGACGGGGGCGTTGATCATGGGGAAGTCGGCGGATGAGTTGATGAGCCTCAAGAAGGAGGATGATAGCAGCGATTCAAAGAGGTTGGGTGAGATCTTTCAGGAGGCGAATCATAAGATGTGGAATTTTAGGTGTAAGGCTAAGCTGGACAATTTCCAGGAACAGCAGAGGTATGTCTGATCCACTCCTGTTCCAGTCTAAATCTGTGTGCTGATTTGGGCAATTTCAGAGTCCGGTATCAAGTCTCCTCCGCGAGTCCTGTGAATTTCGTGCAAGAGTCGGCTCGGTTGGCGGGATTGATCAAGGCTTATCACATCTGATGGCTGGCTGGGCAAATGTGATGCAGTATTGTGAAAGGCGCCTCACGGTCGTGGGTTCGGAACGGACTCGATCGCCTGCCTAAAGCGCCATCTGGCCTTCTCTGTCAGGATTTCGTTCCCAGGCGATGAATGTACGGCTCCGTCGTCCAGAGCATGAGAAACAGCAGCATGTAATGATGCACATGAATCGAGACACACACCCAGAGAAAGAAAGAGAGAGGGTCGTATCCTAGAGCTAGGCAATGATATCAACGAAGACTTGCTCCGAACAAGTGCACGATCCAAGCCGTAGCCGGACCAATATGTTGAAAGATCTACCTAAACACGGGTCCTTGATGAAGAATAGTCGAAAGGAAAATCCAGCAATCAGCCACTCCAACCGGATTGACCTCAAGCAGCCCCTAGTTACGCATCATAGTGTTGACACGATGCCGTAATTTTCTAGCTCACGAAGCAAGGAGCCGCGAGGGACTCCATGCAGCACATCTGTCGCCCAGCCTAGAGTACTCCACGATATTCCCATCTAACTACCTATCCACCATGTATCGGCACATCCCTCCGCCAGAGATGGACCCAACCAGAAGGAGTTTGTAACGTCAGACTCGATCATGTTTTGAAGCCATAGACCTGCCCGTTATCCTCTTTTTTTTCCTTCCCCTGCAACCTCCTCGCCCTTGGGCGGGTAACTTAGGCTTAATGCACCACTGGCAGGCTCTGCGTAGGCGCCGGGCGAAGAATGAAAGCACCAGTACTGCCCTTTTTCAGAAACGCTCTGCATCAGTGAGTGATACGTAGTTATGTAGCTGGCTCACAGGCACGACGTGGGGAACATTTCGTACGGGCATAAATACTCCGTAACTACTGGGGAAATAGCTAAGTTAGGATAGACGAGTTGACTGGATGAACCTGTGGGGGTGGGGGAAGACGGGTCCGGTCAGGTCAGTTGCGCATGGTGATTCGTTGTGCAGATGTACTTTTTGCGCTGGGAAGGAGCATACGTATTTGATTTCTACATCGCGTCGACTTGGCTGGAGAAGAAGATTTTTATGGGTTTTTGTTTTTAGTCTTCTTCCAAATTATAGAAGAGGGATTAAGAGGGAGAGTATCAACTCCATCAATGAGTGGATCTCATTCGAAACAAACTTTCCCCGGAGAAGTCATCCTGCGATTCAGAACGACATCAAGGAATTGAAAAGATTGTTGTCTGGCCAGTATAGTCTAGCATTGCATCTTGTGGGTGATATCATGATATCTTGTAACAGAACAAGATTCGAGTCTGCAGGTTAGTTCAACTCATTAAACCTCTGACATTAGAACTTAACTTGCCAACGGCTTGTTTCTTTGGTAGTTGATAAACCAACGAACGAGATCACGAAGTGGTAACATCGATCAGATCGATTGGATTGATTAAAGAATCATAGAACTAAATGGTCGGTTATGAAAAAATCATGGGAGACAAGCTTTCTGCCGAGAAGAATGTGGCCAAAGTACTTAAGTTACATGGATCAAAAAAAGACGACGATCTTAGGTAGACGTTGAAAGAAATCAGGAACCAAGTAACGTCAGACAGAAGGTACAAAAACTACGCACAGTGGTTCCTAGATAAATCCGAATTCAAGGACTGGTCTAGAAGCTTTTATCGACTCGACGGCCCAAATAAGTCAAAGAAGATAATATTTACCTCTGAACGTACGGTCCTTCTGAAGCGATGTCGTCCCCAACATATACCAGTACTCTTTGCGTCAACTGATTTCCCTTGGAAAACTCCTATCTCTCATAGTACGCACTCCCTGCAAGTCCCAATCTGGCAGTTACTAACCTAGAGCTGTATCTATATGCTCCTTCGCCAACGCCTAATCAATTAGGTTTCTCAAAATCCACAGCACCAACCCTGGTGGGCTGCTCCGATACCTACTCATAACCGTGGATGTGGATGATCGCCTCTAGGCTGACCCTCCATCATTGCATTTGAAATACTTTCTTTACCGCTTATCATCTCAATCCGACACCCGTCACGATCCAGTCACCCAATTCTCGCGCTCAGTCAACATCCCAATGTCCGAGCCGCCTTCATTCAACCTCCAACCTTGTCCATCAACATCCCACCTCTCCATTCCCGCCCAGACCTACCTCTCCCAAGATCAGAGCGAGCACGCATGCAAATTCCTCGCTACAGGTGCCATTGTCTTCTCCGGCTCGCGCATCCTGCTCCTCCAGCGCGCGCCGGGCGATAGCATGCCGAACCGTTGGGAGACGCCCGGAGGCGCGTGCGACGACGAAGACCAGACCATTCTACACGCTGTGGCGCGCGAGCTGTGGGAGGAGACAATGCTGGTCGCGAGGTCAGTTGGGCCGTTGGTCGGGGAGGGATACACGTTTAAGACGCGGTCGGGAAAGATGGTGCGGAAGCTCAGTTTTATTGTCGAAGTGGAGAGGCGGAACGGCGAAGGCGACGGCGGCAGCAACTTTGAAGTGCGACTGCGCCCGGAAGAGCATCAAGGCTTTGTGTGGGCGACGGATGAGGAGGTTCGGGCGTGCAAGGTGGGCAATGTGAAAATTAGGTTCACGACCCCGGAACAGGAGGCTGTCGTGTTGGACGCTTTCGCTGTGCTAAAGGCGAGCACCGTTACGTAGAGCGGACGCTTTCAATTATGCATGGCTCTCTGCACGATCAAGGTCCCGCGTGGTACGTTTGGTCTCGATGCAAGGACGGGATCGGTTACTTCAACGAGTGGGAGGATGAGAAGGTCTACGCTGCAGCTCTTTGGCTCTTCACTCGGGTTCGACCGACACCATCCGGGACTATGCTGGAACTCAGAGGAACTCAAAGTGGATTTGAAAGCACTGAAAGATGCTGGACACACAAGCCGTCGAGATCTATCCTTTTTCCTCTCAGATGGAGAATGTGTCGAAAGTCTCAGTTTTCAGAATCCAAACCATTCAGCAAACGGCTTTCTTCGATACATCAACAGCAACGACCAACCTCCTAGCCTTCTCTCGGCTATGAATCAGACCTCACGAAACGAAAGATAATATGGAACAACCAGAGCGATCAACAAATATGGAACGTCTCCTCATCAATCTTTCCCCGCTCAAGCAGCTCAATCGCCTCACCCTGCATCAAGCCATGCACGTAGCATTCGCCAACGAGAAGGAACTTGCCGTCATCCCACGGACGCAGCACAAAGGGCATCTTTCCGCCAAACAAGACGCACACTACATCCCCCTTTTCCATCGCCTTTGGGCCGAGCACGTAGCGACCCCGGGCGGTCCGGCCGAAGGACCGATTGCTGGCGGAACCATTCGCAGCGCGAGTCCATTTGTAAAGATCGCCACCGACGGCCTTGTCCTTGAGCTCAGCAGAGACTAGACCCGTGTCCGCCAATGCTGCCGTTAGATAGGCGGCGCCTTGGGCAAACCACTCTTCACAATCAATCTCATGGTAGTGCCGCGCATCCCAAGACGCAGTCGCAATACCCCCGCTGCTCAGGGTCTGCATGTACGCGAAGACGGCATGGTCGCCATTCGGATCATCAAGATAGCGGTTCTCGAGGTCAAATCTTGTCTTTCCGCAGATTTCACGCCACAGCGACTCAATCGCCAGGACACGGCGGGATTTGTCGAAGTGGAACTCTTTTTGCTGGATCGGGTCCGAACATGCCTCCAGGACATCCACTTTTATGCCGCGCAGTTTGAGAACCTTGACCGCCCTCTCGATTTCGAGATCTGCCGGCCTGCCGGCGTGCGCCCGATGAGAGCTGGTCGGTTCGGACAGAATGTGAGACTCGTGCTCTCGCCAGTCTGGCACCCACGAAGGCAAAGGCATGGCGTCCACCAAGTGTCGCGCGCATGATCCGTCCGACGTTTTTGAGGGCAGCCGCGGATGCTGCACTACGGCAAGCGTAATAAGGGTCTTGCCTGGGTCCCCAAGCAAGGCTCGTTCCGCAATGTCGTAGTATACCTCCTCGACGGACTTGCTGTAATCAGCGCGGACGGCAGCAAGCTGGGGATTCCCCTCGCGCACGGCATAGTGACCGAGAAAGGCGAAGACCCGATCGCGAGGATCAGTCAGCCTGCAATGGGCCGCTCTGTGGAGCTCGTACATGAGGCTGAGGCGGTTTGCATGGCGGCCCGCCCTATCAGGCTCGACGAAGCGTTTATAGAGATATTTGATATCCGTCGTCCTCAGGCCAAAGTGCTTGCGCATATGGTGGAAATCGGTCAGGTGTCTTGCGACGCCGCAGATGAGGTCCCAGTCGCACTCCGAGTCGCCCCAGTACAATGTGGCGGGTGCCTGGGTTCCAATCTCCTGAACTATCCAGATCCGAGTAAACTCCTCGGCCATTAGCTCAACTGCTCGCCGTCTAATGTCGGATCTGACATACCCAAGGAAGAGCAATCAAACGCTTCAGTGGAGCCCACTGCGCTTCAGGCTGATCTCGAAGGTGCTCTGTGTTCATGATACGAAACTTCTCATTACTCTCTCCGTCCTGGAACGTCTGACCAAGGTTACGGATCAGCTGAAAGGCTTCTTCTGCCTCCGTATTAGAATCTTCCCCAAGGCACACAAGGACGCGGGTAGCGTTCCTATAGATCTTATTCATGAATTGCACCTGCTGACTTCGCTCGCTCAAGTCATACTGATTTATCGACAGTTGGTCCACCCATATTCGGCGAGGCTGGTTAGCCCGTCTGATGCGTCGCAGTGCTCCTTCGAGACTTGCGGTCAGACTGAGCGTCTTGTTGTTGCAGACAATCTCGTGGCTGCGGCTGGGATCTCCCCAGACGTAAGACACTGCCTCGTAGTCTTCGTCTGTGTCGGTGTTGAACAGCTTGAGCTCTCCGCGGAGTGGATCGCTTGGGCCGCCTGGGAAGATTGTCAATATTCGAATGTATGGTCCGTCTGGGAGCCGAGTGTAATGGTATCGCTCCAGGCTCGACATGGCGAAACGCTGACTGAAGATTCTTCAGGCTCTTAGCGTCGATGCCGCCTGAGCCACTACCAATATATACTCTTCCATGTGTCCTTTCTACGTGGAGTTCCTCTCTTCGTAAGTGTGAGGCTAAGGCTGAGGCTCAGCTCGCTCACCAGACCGAAGTGCGTCGCAGCTCAGGCGCCACAAACTTTCTTTTTGAGCAGCTTTATATACACTGAACTTGCATTTATGACTTGCCATTTTCGATTGGGAAAGGGAACATGGCCGCTTTGAAGGGAACAGTGAGGGAACAAGAGCGAGCATGAAGGGATGGGCCACTCCTGGTGCCCTCTCTAAGTGGGTGTAGTAAGTAGGAGTCTGAACTGGCTGCTTTGAGCCCGGCTTTAATTGCCTACATTATTTTGAACCAACCTGGGCCACCAAGCATCGAAGCCGAAGGCAGTGTACTCCGTAGAGGCGCAGCATACACAGCAGCCTGAATCGGCGGCTACCTTAAACTCAGGCTGAACTGCCTAATCGTGGTCCACTACTAATGTCGGGCGCCTGCATGGCAGGAGGCCTGTCTCATGCCAAGATAGTTTAGAGTAGATGCCCTCTGGGCGCCCTCTGGGCGCCCTTTGGGCATGTTAGAATATACAACTTCACTCACACATTTTGAACTCGTCTTTTGCTCATCTTTCGCACGTTAGATCGTGGTCGTCTGATAACTAATCTTCGTTGGGGTGGTTGTTTCTGCGGCTCATACACTCCCTTCAATATTGTCTAAACCTTGCACAGGGGCCATATGGGGACGTCAGCACCAAACAAAAGGGTCACTTAGGTAATTAAATTGCGAACTATAAGAAGTTCATTCAAGACAATTAGTCCTCTTTACAAGACATACATGAATATAGTCGATACTCTATTTCTAAGTCTGAAAATTATACCTCTGATTTTGGCGTTGATTTATTTCGTCCACGCAAAAGTGGAAGGGGCAATGCTATCCCAACAGAGTTGCGTTCCGCAACATTGCAGGATGGCTACAAGCTTATCAGGCTGGCGCCAATCACATTTGGATGTGGTAGACACATAACCTACGTCTCCGAGGCGTGACGATGGCTGCAAGATAGTCCGATAGCAATACTTGAATTGCTCATTCCATGCATGTACGAGTCTTGAATGTTGTGAATTCCCTGCCGACACTTCAACTGCGGCGCTAGCAAAGCCTGATGCCACAACGTGATACCGTATCATTTGCCGCTCGTGTAAGATTCAAAGACTGGGTGTAAGTCCCTTCGAGAAACTGCGTCGGCATCGATGCGCGAAGAAGGTTTTCGGTGAAATACCTGCTCGTTTGCCAGCATGTTCTCATATCGTTGCCGATAACTCCGACAAACACTTAATACGATTCTCATCCGGCCGCCATTGCTGTTCTGCACATGTAGTTTGTGATCAGTGGCGCAGAAAGGACACTTAGACAGCCTGGGCCTTTCCAAACCCGTCATAGCTGTGACAGCCTGCTCAATGGTCTGCCATTTTTCTTCGCTATACATGTTTTGGTGATAATGTAAGCACAAGGCCGAGTTAAAGAGCCAGGCCTTTTGCGCTAACTCCTGTCTGGATTCCCCATCTACCTCCCAGCGACTAACAAGCAGAAGCTGTCCGTCTATTAAGCGCGCCTCATTTTTTCGAGTGACACCATTGCGATCGGTCCCGCTCGTGCTCAACAAAGATAAAGGCAGACCGTGTTGCTGCCCCCGCTCGTGAGCTCGAAAGATGAGGTCAATGACTTCGCGTGCCACACAGATATTCCGATCTCCTTGTATGTACGAAGCGTATGATGTAAATATGTCCTTGAGCGAGTGAAAATTTCCACGCGGGCAGCGATAGCCCCACGACCGTCTAGCTCGCCATTGGAACATAAAACCGCATATGCAACACGTCAGATGTTCAGGGTAATCATGCTCAAGGTATCGGAGGAATCGCAGCTTCATGCTCATGTTGTCTGGCGATAAATCGAGACAGGAATTAAGAAGAACGCGAAGTCATCTGCAGGAGAGACTAAGTAAGACTTGAAACTCCTTGTCCAGAAAAGTTGCGATCACGAGGAGCAGCTCATTTGGCAGCCCAAGGAACGGATTTTGGTGGTCCCGTAAGTCCTCTGTGTCTTCCACTGGCTCTTCGACTTTGAAGCCCACTGTTCCAACGGGCCGCAAGTGTCTGAAAGTCCTCTGTAGGAACATGAAAAGCCGACCCATCGGGATTATTTGCTTCTAGCTCGCGTCTGACACTTGTCGATATGAAGGTCCGATTAAAATATATTAGCCCTGAATGACGGTGGAAAGAGTATCAAAACAGTATGCGCGTCGCAGACCGATGGGCAGGCAGTTAAATGTTAGGCGAATGGTGAGATAGAGCAGCTTAACTTTTTTCAGTTTTGTAGGGTAGGTGAGAGTGATTAGTTAGTATGGAGTAGTGCATGGATGGATAGATAGTACGGAGGAAAGAACAAAGTCTGTTTTCCATTTTGGTCCCGTACCACTGCTTTAGCAGTAACTAGCACGGAGCTAACATACCTTCAGCCCACCGTAGTACAGCCGATTGTCAACCTGCTGTGCAGAGTGCGTAGAGAAGCAAGTTGATTGATAGCTACGGGGGTAGAGAGCGTAGATCTATGTACAATTGGCTGTACCGTTCAGCGAAATTAGAAGCGAAATTGCGTCGCAAATTGACCAATTACAAGCAGCAGAAACGCAGGGATTACGCGTATTAAACGCGGCCAATTAGCCCTCTCAGAAGGTCAACACCGATCTATACGTATATCTACTCACCTTACCCCTTGATGGATAATACAACTTGCTTTCTACGTAGTACGTACTCCGCAGGAGGTTACACATGTGATTATTGTACGAGTCTAGCTCTTTTAGCACCAAACCAACTCCATAGAACTCCCATACTTTCATAGATACTGCATCAACCACTCGCAGTTGCACCGACAGGAAGTGGTCACATCCGCTTGAGAAACTGGGCAATTCGCGAAGGCGGCGCTTAAAAGTGCATTTTCTTGAATTAGAAATCCTCCAACCCGTACACCTCATATGAAGGCTCCTCGTATGGATGGGCCCTTGGACTGTTAGACCAGACCAACAATGCTGAAAACAACAGACAACAACACAAGCTTACATCTTCAGTGCCTCGACGGCCTTCCGAGCAACATCCTCGCCTAGGCACAGCGTTTCGAACCTTGCCTCCTGCAACTTTGCCAGAGCACCCACACTTCCGATATGTGACGTTGTTGATAGCGTTAAGCAGAAGATAGACGATATTCATTGCCAACTACGGAGTCGTGCATCCAAAGTAGTTTACGGCCACTAAAATGTGGCTGAGAAGCTAGCCATCTTGATCTTAGCAAGTTACAATTAGTGTCTTTGGTAATTTAAATCTTACTGGGCTTTTAGGGCTTGAGATTATGGGAGAGTAAGGCGTATAAAATGACGCTACGCTCTACGTAGTATACGTAGTATACGTAGTAAGTAGCATTTTAAGTACCTACAAGACGTACACCATTTAATAGCTGATATAGGCCTAATTAGATGCTGGGTACTTATACCATTAGTTGGTGGGCAAGCCTAACTGAGTTAATAGATGCTAGCAACGCCACAATATCCAGGGAGTTCAACTACTTTTGACGCACAACTCCGTACACCCTTGTCAACCAGAGCGAAGCGGCAGCGTTGACCATGGGGTCATGTTCTCAACACGTGTGCATTGTCCGCGGCCGTGGGCGCCTGCGCAGCCAAGAGCCTGCTGGCTGAGCGGATTGATCGGCTTCCTAATGCGGCAACTCGAGAGAATGGAAAAGGGTTCCTGATGAGGATTGGGCCGAGAATCTTACCACATCAATCAAGTGATGCAACAAGATTCCGATACGAACACTGTGGCGGATGCACAATAGGGGTTCATCTAAGATCAGTGGCAAGTGTGTCTTTTCTATGTAGAAGAGCTCTACAAGGAAGTATCTAGCAGCGCCAAGGCAACAGCACGTGACTGTTGGCTAGGCAGTAGCCTAGGCCACGGTCCGTAATAAACACACAAGGAAGATGGAGGACCTTGAGGAAGCCATGCGGATGACGCCGACTAATTGACCAGCCTCCTGCAAATTGCTTAAGAACACCTGTGTGTTAGAAGTAGTAGCAAACAGCGTACGCCTGTGGAGATGATTGGTAGGCCGTTTGAGTCATCTGCGCGTGCCAGCAGAGCTCCTTGCTTATATAAGCAGTGCCCTGCGGCGTTTGTATAAGAGATATCGTGATCTCTTAAGAGTTTGTTGGTGGACAGAATGTTGACCTTGATAGAGGGTACGCAGATAACATCCTTAAGCGCGAAATTCGTACTATTAAGAAATAAGTCGAATTCGCCACTGCCTGTAGATTCGCTGGATGAATTTGCTGAGGATACCGTCATAGAAGCATGCGAGTAGCATGCTAGAAGCTCCCTATAGGGCGTAAAATGATGCGTCGCTCCACTGTCGAGTATCCATTGATTCTCAGCTAGAGAGAGATCAGAGCTATTGACCGTATAGCTCATATAGTTAACTCCCTCTGATTCGTTAGCTCCTTCTGCTTGAGGGTCCTCTATTGGCTTCTCTATTCTGTCCGTGGATTGTTATTTGTTAAGGAGATGAGGGTGCTTCTTCTGCCATCCCTCTGGCGCCTTCTCTGGGTGCTTATACCAGCAGACTTGGCCCTCCTTCAGAGCGTGCGTTTTGCTGCATTCGGAGCAATTTGACGTCGTTCTCTGTTGCTTAGAGCGTCCACCTTGAGGGGCGTCATTTCGCTTCCTTTTGCCTGTCATAACGTTCGCTGTTGGTGCAGGCTTCTTAGTATCCTTCTTAGGATCTTCTCCAAGCCCGTGGAGGGTAGTGTAGAGCTCCTCAGGGTCAGCAAGTTTTGTTCCATTCTTGTATTTCTCAAGGAACTTCGACCAATTAGAGGAGGAGTTGGAGTCGTTATTTTCGCTCCAGAGAAGAAAAAGAGTTGGGAGAGTTATTGGATCCCAGGAGAAACGTAAATTGTACGTCAAATGGTCGTACGCAGTCTTGTAGGCAGTAGTATACTGACGAATATCAGGATACTGCGAGCGTCGAAGGCTTAGGAGATTCTGGAGCGCTCGGAGTTGCTCTGTTATGAGAGGAGCTGCGTACGCCTGCTCGAGGGCTTCCCATAGGGTCTTTGGAGTGGAGTATCTGTTCATTCGAGTCAGAACAGCAGGAGATAGCCGTTCTATGATCTCAGAAAGGGCCATTTTCTCCTTATCTTGCCACTCGTTGAATTCCCTAATCTCTTCCTTGTAGTCCTCGTAAGCAGCATCCCATTGGCGCTGATTCCATCCATTGGTATCCAAGTCAAGATCCAATTGATCGAATTGCTCTCGAAATCGAGCAAGAGTTATAGGGGCTTTTGTGCGGCCACGATTAACAGGAGGATCTGATACGATAGGACTCCACGCTTTGAGCCTATCAAGGCGTGCTTTCATGACTCTTGACCATGAGAAATAGTCCTCAGTACCCTTGAGAAGAGGGATACGGGCCTTTTCGTAGGAGGAGTCGTAGGAGGAGTCCATAGCGATCGAATTTGGCTGTACGGTACAGCAGAATTTGAGGCTAGGCCGAAAGTGGTAATATGAGGCCTGCGAGGCTCTGGCGAATATCGATTTCTATTACAGCTTTCGCTTAATAGAGTAGAAGGCAGGCCGGGCTCATAACCTGTTAGAGGATGGTAGCAAACAGCGTACGGAGGTGCCAATTCACTTGATTGAGTTACTCCTATCAAGAGGAGTATTTGCTCATACTAATAGCTATAGAAGCGCATTACTGTAACAGCTCAGAAACAGCATTTGGCGTTCAATTCGTATAGCAATGCTCACTGCCATAAATAACAGAGCGTAACAGTTACAAGAGCGTTTCGTGCGTTTTGCATGCGGGGACCTTGTACCATCATGCTAGTACGTAACAGATACGTATCATAAACGCAGGGATTCTAACAACCCGTGTCGCAATGAGTGAGAATTGTTCGTCAGCGAGAGCTGCATGCCGATGAATCAACTTTGCGTTGATCGAGAGCGAATATCATCTCATGATCTTAATAATACGTATTTGAGGCCTCAAACCGAGCAGAAGACTTGTTTCCGAGAAGACGGAACTTCTTTTCGTTTAGGTGTTAATTCTTCCGTTGGTCGAGGCGGTTCTCTTGACTAGTCTCAAGTTCGGGAATGGAGGTCGCTGTACATCAAACTCCTGGGCTCTGGTAAAGTAATCGACCAAATCATGGTAACAAAGAGTGATCGTCCTTGTCAACTCGGTATGGGGATATGTGGTTGCGAGATTGCTACCAAAGTCCTGAAGTTGGAAAATCATGGAGCCAGGCCTTATTTTGCCATCACTGTTTTGTATCTCATCTTGTTCAATGATAGCGTTCATCTTTACAGCATCTTCATTCCCTAATCGAATAAAATCTGGTCGCCAAGCCGAGATTTATATGACTGCTTGTTTCCTGTTTCCAGACCAATCACAAGCTGAGTATGACCACTTGAACCGACGATAAGATCTTCAGCCTTTGTTTGCAGTGATATGAAGCCCTCTGAATATGCCATTTCGGGTACAACTCCTGGAAAATAAGAACCTTTGAGGAGGAATTGTCCATCAGATTCACAGTGATTACTCGCACCATAGAGCTGGATCCGTCTGGAAGCAAGCTGTTCGATGTCTTGGATGAGTTGTTTTGTAGGTCCGTTTGAGGTTTCTTTGATGGTAACCAATTGAGTTTCAATCAAATGATTGACTTTTCTGGCAATAAACTGATGGATAGCACCAGGCATCTTGACAACAAGATATTTGTCGTTGATAAGATCGTGTCTAAAACGGGTACAAATTGATGAACAATCTGAGCGTCAGATTTTGAAAGATTAATCTTAATCCTTCAGAGACATATGCCCAGACTACAAGGTCAGACACCTGCAGAGATTCCAAAGTTTTTCTGTACACTCCTGGCTGAAGTACAAAGGTACGGCAGTTGCAAGGACCAGTAACCTCTTTAGCGTCGAGAGAAAAGAGAAAACTGCAGATTAATGCGTCGAGGTCGAGGTTTGTCGTCGGGTCACTGTAGCATGAACGTGACGTTGCTGGAGATTGTCCGTTTGATTTGCGAGATGTTGTTGTGTTGGAGTTACTAGTGTTACATAACTGTTGCTGGGCGTACGCATCACCACAAGAGGCGGCGCTATCTGACTTCTCATCATGGACTGTTGAGTGAGCCATTTTACAGCTTTCGTTCTCAGAGATGAATGTTGAACTACGTACTCTATACCTACTGACCAGGTATACACTCATGATGAAGGTCCGTGTGTCACGCTAACGCTTTCGGTATAGCGGTCCAATGATCTGTGGTACAAGCGCCAAGCACACGTGACCATTGAATGTGCCAAGGTCTGACTCGTATCACTGCAGTTCACCTGAATTTTTAAACTCCATATGCCCAACAAGTCCGCACTGCCAACATGCACTGTCCGCACCTCCCATTGAGCAGAATGATATAATGGTATGCGACCAACACTGTCAACTGGGGTTCACTATATAAAATCTCCGTAGGTATGAAAAGGGAGAGACAGTCAGATGTGGGCAAGGTATAGTTCTCCAATAATAACAAGGCCTGAGCGGAGGCTGAGCCAAAAGTTGAGCCGGGTAGTTTTTTCCTTAGTAAGGCAGCCAAAAATGAATCAACCTAATTTGGTGTCAAGGCGCGGTTAAGATTCGGGTTCGAATACCAAGTCAACTGTTGAGGCGTACCGAGACTCCGTCGAAGCGGCATTCGTCAATTTGGATTCCACGTTGGGATATATCCATGTTGTTTCGGAATCCGTTTCGATTCGGAAGAGCGCTTCCATAGAAACCAGCTGGAGAAACGAAACTCATCTGGACTATTGACAAAAAGCTGAATGTTTTATCTCTAGCCGGGTTTGAAGTTGATTCCATCCAGTATGTCAAATCCTACAACGAAAGCTTCTTCGGAAATGCAATGACCAAGTCAGACGAGGGAAGAAAGGTGTTGAAGCAAGTCTGGCAAAGATTCCTGAAGATTGTGGAAAGTAGTCGGTCGCAAATACCCCTCAGCACCAGTGTACTCAGCGCAGCCGCAACATCTTTCTCATTTGGATTGGACGGGACGAGAATAGCAATCCTGCAGATGAGCGCCAGTTACTTCACAAATTTGTTGCTTGTTTGAAACTAATGCTCGATAAAGAAACATACAACGAGTGCATACCAACAGATGTGTCTGAGGAATCGAAACACGCAGACGGCCACTCATTCGGGAAACCCGTCTGGGACTTCCGATACCCCGAATCTAGCTTCTTCATCACTAGACGCAGATTGACTGGATCCTCTATTTCTACTACCAGGCCAGGAGTCCGCTGAGCGCATATGCAGGCAGGAACGTGAAATCTGATGGCCATAGTGGAGATCCATTCTCTTGCTAGCCCACGTACCAGAAGACATAGTCGCATTTTCATGCGTGAGATTCTTGCAGGAAATGAAAGTCACAATACGCTTGCCATGAAAAGTCCATAAGATTTCCGGGCGCTTGTTCTTAGGTCCAAGATGTCAACTGATAATGGAGACGAAGAGATTCGAAGACAATTCAAGAGAGTGGGTGTCCAAGAGCTGGGATATTCAAGGGGGAAATAATTGCCAGGCACTGCAGAAATATAAAGAAAGGGTCTTGGACAAAGTCTGAAATGAAGAACTAAAGCTTCGCATATAATACTAGCACTTTCTACAACACAATCTGAAAAAGAATATAAGCCGTCTGCTTACACTTCTCCTCTGCCCCTCCCTCCCCTACCAAGATTGACTGAGTTTCTTCGGCCGCTCGCGTACTTGGTAAGTCGGAGCCCAAACTGCACACCGAATGTGGTGTCTTACTGGATATTTTAGCTCCAGAGAGACATTTGGCACCCGCGATACCAGTGATCGAGGGGTTCACTGCGTACGGTGTTTGAATTTCTCTTGTTCATTCCTGAATTAATTCAGCAAGGGTAAAACTTGGTATGGATGGCGCAGTGTAAACCACTATGCCATCCGCGCCTCGCCAATTGGAAATAATGATAAATAAATCAATTAGTTATGTTCATTAAGAAATTGTGTTTTTCTGCTGTGGAGTCTGTCTACGGGCAATCCCTTACACCCAACCAGGCTCTGTAATACATATGTCGACTCCTGTACGTTTCATCAACCGCTGCTATACAAAAATCACAAACACCCTATCTTTAGTGCCATTTCGAGATGCTATACAAGTAAAAATGTACTCCTGGTTCTGCTTTCAATAATACATACTTCGCTGTATTCAGGGGGACTTTAGGTCAGTCAAAAAATCCACTATCATTGATCATGTTGTTCACCGTCGATGGACACTGAACTACGTCTGTTTCAAGTTCATGACTCGTCTTATCATTTAAGGGGTATCCAGGTAGTATATATCATAATGAAGACTTCTCTCGAGTCGTGTCTATATGGGGGAAGACGTGACTCAAATTACCATCCTCCTTACTTTCCAGATCTGCAGTATTATTTTCATCTGATAGTTCCTTGCTCGTATTTGCATATGTGCCTTCAGGCCCCCGCTTGTCGCAAGTATTTATTGATGGCTTGTCCTGCCCGTGCCTTTCCGGCTCGGCGTCTGCAGATGTCTCCAAGGGGACGGAGAGTGCACTCTCCAATGGCACAGAAGCCTTCTTTCCCGGCTGCTGGTTGTCTTTCAGGTGGTTCCCCAACCAAGAGTGGTGGTCTTTGGATAGCTTCAGTGTCTGGTCGATATCTCTTGTCAATTGGTCGACCTCCTCCTCCAGCTTCTCGTCTCTAGTCTTCAGTGGTAGTTGGTGTTCCTTTTGGTCATGCTCGGATGGAGTAGTGCGCTGCCATAAGTCTTCGAGCTCATCAAGCCAGCCTAGGGCGTCTGCGAGTTTTCGAACCCCGGCGTCGCATTCACCGAGGAGAAGTACGTCATCAGCTCGAGACCCAAGTCCACCTACTCTTTCAAGGTTGATCAGGATTCGTGGTGTCTCTTCACGTACATAGGATGGCAAACTGGCAAATGGTTGCACGCTAAGGCTAGTGCCCATGATGATTGCCAGATCAGCAGCTGCTGGCAATGTTCGATTTCGATGAAAAGCTTCAGGCAACGCTTCTCCAAAGAAGACAATATCCGGCTTCACCAGCCCATTACAGGTCTTTCTGAGGCATCGTGGGACTTCCCTTTCCTGGACAGCCTTCTTCATCATCGTGTCCGGGAACTCGGTTTTACATTCGATGCATCTCTGAGACGCGAAAGAGCCATGCGCCTCCACTATCATCTCACCTGGTACACCTGCCTCCCGTTCTAGGCAATCAATATTCTGGGTGAACAGTTTGAGCAGTAAGCCCTTGTCGTAGAGTAGCTTCATGAAACAATGCGTAACGGTAGGCCGGTAGCGGCCAGGATAGAGCTCATGCGCAAGGGTGTAGAAAGGCAGCGGGTTGTTACGGAAATAGGATATGTCGAACACAGCTTCAGCATAAGGTAGGTTTAGGCGGGCAAGGTTGGCATAGAGCCCTGTATCAGGAGAACGAAAGTCTGGAATGCCAGCGGCTGTACTAATGCCCGCGCCTGTCTGCAAATATCATCAATCTCCATTTAACGACCTGTTCCAGAACCTCCTACCATGACCACTATCCTTCTGACTTTCCTCTCTGTGATATATTTTGCAACACTCTCCAACGTCCGGCTCTCGAGCGTTTGCGGCGGAACATCATCTTCGACCGGAACGGATGACTCGTTGCCCATCCTAGCACGAAAAGGCGTGCTCGAGCGTAGTTTCGGGTGTTGTGTTCTGCGTCAACGACCTATGATGAGAGCTGTTGATGTTCTGTACGGAGCACTCGTGCAGAGATATGCGGAGCTTGTGTGACACCATCGGTTCTGCGGTGCGAGTGGAGGATTCGTACTTGAACACCCCATCGCAGCAGTGCATCATTAGCCCTTTATCTAATTGGTCTGAACAGTAATCCGCTGCTGGCAGCACCGAGGTTTCGCCTCTTTCGTTCCTATTCGGGAAGGCTGTGGGGACTTGGCGCCGAAAAAAAGCTATTTCCTCCGAACTCTATATTTTAGATCCCTACCCTAGCACACACACACCCCTTACCAATTGATGCTTCGAGCCGATAGTGCTCCCCAATGTGGCTTAGAGCAGAATGCAAATGAAGCTTCTAGGTAATGATTAAGTATTTAGCTTTGGCCTCGTATCAACAACGGACTAATTTCAACTTGCGGCAACTTCTGAAGTGGACTATTGAAGTGTCCATGTTTCCTGGGGATTGACATGTACTATTATTATCAGCCCCTCTGAACCTGCTCCTCTTCTGGGACATGTTGCAGCTTTTCTAGTGACCAAAAAACTTATCAACCATTGCACGAGATGCATATTTTACATACTTAGTGGCTAATGTATGCTTCAGCTGTCCAGATGTTCTCTCCGATTGTGTATTTTCCTTCTTCCAACTGCCTAACGTCGATTGTGGTCCTTTTTCTCCTGAGGTGCACTTTGGCTCAAGAGGAATGAGCAACACCGCGAAATATCCTGCTGTCCTCTGCTCTGCTCTGCATTTCTCATAAGCCTACAACAGTCATCAGACACTCAAAAGTCCATCGCGCCGGCAAGATGGTGTTTAGTCTCGGCAGCATTTCCGTCCACGGCAGCTTCGCAGCCTCGACCATTGCTGTGTACAATAATGTTGCCAAGCAGGTTCTTTTCAAACTTGCTGCCTTATTTCTGCAGCTGTTCATATTCAAGCTATTCGCCTTGCTTGCAGCGAGTCGTAAAGCATTTACATCATATTTGATGTTTACTGAGGACTACATCCAAAGGACACTATACATATTTTCACGAGGGTTTTCTTCAGGCGGAATCATCGTTTTCTTCGTCACAATTTTGCTTTTTGTGGGGACTTGGTTTGATGCTCTGCTCTGGGGGTTGGATTCGCCTGGTTATCTGGCAGAGAAGAGCAACGTTACAGCCGCCAAGATTGCCGATCGTTTACTACCAGAACCAGGGTATCTTGTCTTCTCAAACAGTATCCCGGGTGACATCGCGCCTCTCGATGCACGGCTCGTCGATATGATGGGTGCTAATCTGTTTGAGCCTGGCGTCAATTTCACGCTGACTGGAGTTATCGACCGCGGCTCTCCAAAAACGGTTGCAGCAACCCGGCCCTTTGAGGAAGTTGGTCCAAGGATATGGCTTGATCATGACGGCTTCTCTGTCTCAGCAGACACATTCATCACATTTTCTGCAAACAAAACCAACGCGACAATGTCCTTGAATTGCCCCTGGCAGACCATGAGCGACAATGTACAAAGCTGGAATTGTACGTTTGACAACTTCTTTGCCCTTCAGTTGGCGATGGAACACACGTTAGGGCGGCCGGAGGTCCATTGGGACGATGTTACAGACAAGCGGCTTCAATCTCAGTACATCTCTCCAACCCGCGAGGACAATCCGTGGACCAGTCTCGGCAAAGGCGGTGATACGGCTTTGATGAAACAAATGTTCACCGTCACTAAAGGCCGCATGCGTCATACTTTCGTCGAGACTGCATTCAAGGCTTGCATGCTAACCGATTGGCTAGTCCCGTTCAGCCTGGAAGAAGTGACCGATTTGGTGAAGAGAGCTTGGTCTACGGACCCAGTCGATCAATCAAATCCAATCATCTACGACGTTGCTCAGTCTATTATCGATGCACGTAGCCAGAACAGCAGTGGTGTCTTCGGTCTCACCGCGGAGACAGAAACATCCGTGTCCCAGGTCAACTACGAACTTCTCAACCTTGAGCTCGTACCTGGTGAAGTGGCATATTCTCTGTTTCGAGCTTCGGTCGTCAATATTACGCTTGTTCGTTCTGATGAGCTGCCAGAACCGGTCGTGCCGCTAGAGCCCTGCGACAAATTCTACACGAACATAGCACTGGGTGGAAAAGTGCGCGAGACAGACTGCTATATGTCCTTCATTGGAAATCAAACACAGGAAGGTCACCGTTTTTATGGTCAAGTCGATACCTCTGCTTTTCTTATTCTAAATGGTGTCATGGGCGAAGGGCGCTTCAATTACAGTGACAAGGCCTTGAATCAGCAAGCCTTCGAGTGGGCTGTGAACAACGATGAGAAATTAAGCAATCTAGTGCTATCTCGGGGAGCCATTTTAGCTCTAGGCCCTGCAAATGTCATGGTCGAGGTCTCCAGCATCCAGCCAGCAATTTCGCGTCTTCAGATCCTGCTGATCGTCATCTGTGCTCTGTTGGCTGGTGTAAGCTGGCTATGTCTGATTTTCTTTGCCAAGGCCCATTATTCGTCTTCGCTACTAGCAAACTTGATCGCAACTACGATGATCACCTCGAATGGGGAGGATGTCAAGAGCGGGAAACCCAGGTATCTGGTTGATTGTCCAGAGATCAATTTGACACATGAGAATGGTCCGACAACATTGATGGCGACCGCCACTGGCGTATTCAAACACGTCGACTTCATAGATCATGGCGCAGGAGAATACTTCATATCACAGAACAGAAAAGAAGATGGCAATGACGGAATTGGGATGGCCAAAACCACCACTATCTCCCAATACGAGGTTGTCAGGGATCAAGAGTATGACGGTAATGCTAGCCCATTGGCACAGGAGGACACCACCCATACTACCATGATCAACCTATCATCTAGATGATCTAATTTGTATTACTCGAAAGGCAAGGCAATGCATAGTTGAAACTAGACTGGGGAGGAATTTTGACTAGAGGCATGCCAGCTTACGTAAGACAAATGGGCTTCCTTGACAACCTTTCAAGATAAAGTAGAGTATTATTCACATTCTTCCAATAATGTACTCGTGTGGAGTGCATCGAATCGTATTGATAGTGCAGTTAAGCAATATCGTATCAGCACTACTTCCGCTTCTGCATCGAAATCTAGGTAGACTGTCCCTACTCATATGCTGCGATTTTTCGTGTCACCAAAATGAACACCAAAATGAACTCTGCTGTTGAAGCTCTGGGAGAAGAATCGAGCATTGGTGTAAATGACAATGCTACAGATGTCTACAGTGCAAGTTCTGTTGCAGAGATCCGATCTAAACTCTCAAAGCTCCATATGCGCGATGCTGCTGTCACTTCACAGCTAGACGAGTTGCTTGCATCTCAGAAGGACTTCCAACGTGAACTGAGAAGACTCGACATCCTACGTGCCGGGCTAAGCACACAGAGCTCCAAGACGCGCTCGATCAGCAATGGCATGATCTCGAATGCTGCAGCCACCGCGAACAAGATCTCGAGTTCTGTGAAACGACTTGACCTGGAGCAGTCCCGCGTCAAGGCTACTTTGGACGTGGTGGACCAAGTTGCTGAGCTGAAGGCATGCCTGCTTGGGGTTATGGGATCGATGGGAGCTCCTCAGGACTGGGAGACCGCTGCAAGCTATCTGTCACGCGCATCCAAAATTCCTAAGGATGTTATTAATGGACTGTTTGCGGCCAGGATAGTGCCTACAGCAGAAGTTCCAGATGCACCAAACATCACGCTAGAAAATGCGTCAGAATCCTTGTGTGGTCTCTTCTTACGCGAATTCGACAAGGCTATCAAGGACAACGATGGCCCGAAAATTACGCGTTTCTTCAAACTCTTCCCGCTGATCGGACGGTCAGATGTGGGACTCGACGTATATGGACGTTACGTTTGTCAGGGCGTAGCGGGCAGGGCGAGAGCAAACTTGAACGCGGGCACTGGCGGCAGCCAGAGTAAGGATGGGTATTTCTACGCTAATGCGCTGACGAAGCTCTTCGAGCACATCGCGCAAATTATTGACGGCCATGGGAGCCTGATAGAGCGTCACTACGGCAGTGGCAAAACGATCCGAGTCATTGAGCGATTGCAGGTCGAAGCTGATCTGCAAGGCGGCATCATACTCGACGCATGGGCAGACGAACGACAAGTCGATCGAAAGCTTACCGACATCAAGTCTTACGCTTACACATTCTTAGTACAGAGCTTTCTACCACCTCAGCGAGGCAATACCGGAACACCGAGATCGAGCTCTCCAGCCAATCAGCCAAATTCACGATCCAGCGAGGATGAGGGTGTGGATATGAAGGAAATTGATGCACTCTTGAACGAGATGGCTGTCATGATGGGAAAATGGTCACTCTACGTGAGGTTCATCACTGACAAGTGCAAGCCCTCCAATGATATCGATTGGGATGTGCCCACGTTTTTGACCAGCTCAGCGCTTGCGAGGAAGGTGACTGGTCGACTGATCTCCCCTTTCAACGCTATGACAACCTTCTTCTTTCGACGATCAGTCGAAAAGGCATTCCAGCTTGACGAGCAGCCACCGAACCTGTCGCTCAATCCGCACAAACCACTGAATTCGAATCCGCCGCACATCTCATCGGCTGTGGAAGACATTATGTATATCTTTAACAAGGTCCTTCAGCAGTCTCTAGCCACTTCTCAGAAAGATGTTGTCTCTAGCGTGGTGCCGACGCTGGCCCGAATCATGGGTTCAGACTTCATTGGCATGATTCAACGCAAGATGCGAGACGAGAGCTACCCCAAAGCCGCGATTCAGGGAGCGCTTCCTCCCGAGCACACCATCGTTGCATTCCTGGTCCTCATCAACGATTTAGATGTTGCTATGGACTATGTCAAGCAGATTATTCGCTCACAGACCGAATCAGCAGCAACATCAGAGCAAGCGGCGGCTAGGTTGCTAGACAGCTTGTTCCCGCTCGCACATGACGCCGAAGCGGTCAGCGATATCTTGAGATCTTTGGATGCTACATTTGAGAACAAGACAACGGAACTTCTGAACGAAAGTGTCCATGTTGTGTTCAACAACGTGATGAAGCCGCGGTTGAGGCCTATATTACTTGATGCCTTCCGTGACGTTGAGTACCAATTGACCAAAGAAGAGATTGAGGAGCTAGCACAGGAAGAAGGCAGAGAAGAAGAAGATGGAGAGCGCGTTCGTCGACGTTTCCAGCATGGTTGGGACGCTCTGACCAAACCAATTGCTCGAATCATGACCGAAAGCACGTTTGATAGACTACTTACGATAGTCGTCTCGTATCTAAGCAAATTGCTTGAGAAGAAGATTTGGAGCTATCATGGGCGTGTGAATGAGCTTGGGGCTGTCCGGCTGGAACGGGATATCAACAACATTGCTGCCGTCATCGTGCAAGGTAAGAAGTATGCATACCGAGGCGCATTCTTGAAATGCAGTCAGATTTGTATGGTGATGAACATGGAGGAGGATGAATGGGAGGAGCTTCAGTTGAACAGTGACACTTCCAATGATATTGCTGACAGAGTCACTCCAGAGGAGAGACTGAGGGCAAGGGCGATGATCAAGGAGATGGACTGATGCATCTGACGATTAGACGCTACAGGGAAGGGCAATCCTTCTGACGGTGCAGCTTCGTTGTTGGTCCTTCCGAGCCATCCGCCTGGTGTATGGATACTGGTACCACGGTCATATCGGTCCGATACCAAGCCGGCAGCAGGCATGGAGGGTGGAGAATGGAGAATGGAGAATGGGGGATGGAAAAATGGAGAAAAGCTCTGCATCACTGCTGATGCTTCCATTAAAGGTCTTGGCCGGTGACGGGCACGGGCACGTGCACGTGCACGTGGACACATCTCAATGATTATCATCCAAGCTGAAGCTGCAGCTGCCCGCGGTCCGTCCCCTATCTTTTTCCTCGCCGGAGCTGCCCCTCGCCCTCGCCAAATCTGCCCCACTATCAACAAATCCGCTAGTTACTTCCTCGGAGCTGATTGCATTGAACTTCAGCACAATCGGCTTTTCTAGAAGAAACCTGCAACTTATCATCCTCACCGGACCCTCTTCTCTTGGTCTACTACCCTTGAGGTTCTTGAGCCACTGCACCAGTCTTGAAGTGCCGCACTTGTAGGCCTTCCAGTGGTCTCAGTTGAGCCCACCCCAAGGGCGCCTCCAACCGGCAAGATGGTTGTTCCTAGAAGGAAGCCGTCCCGCAAGGGTATGAAGAAGCGAGGGCAATTATCGTGCTAGAAGTCTAACAATGTATAGGGTCTATGGCTGATGTGCCCAAGAGTCTTCTCGAAGCTATTGCCGATCTGGAGAAGCTATTCATCGTCGACCAAGACAAACTCAAGCAGATTACCGATCACTTCATTGGTGAACTCGAGAAAGGCCTCGACCATGAGGGCGCCAACATCCCGATGAATCCGACGTGGGTCATGGGCTTTCCAACTGGGGACGAACAAGGCACTTTTTTAGCATTGGACATGGGTGGAACCAATCTGCGCGTCTGCGAGATCATGCTTCCGGAAGAGAAAGGAGAGTTTGATATCATCCAGTCAAAGTACAGGATGCCAGAAGAGTTGAAAACCGGCAATGCCGAGGAGTTGTGGGAATACGTTGCCGATTGTTTACAGCAGTTTATTGAGTACCACCATGAGGATGAAGACCTTGGTGCCCTACCCCTTGGGTTCACCTTCTCCTATCCCGCAACTCAAGATTACATTGATCACGGTGTGTTACAGAGATGGACAAAAGGCTTCGATATCGATGGTGTTGAAGGACACGACGTAGTAGAGCAGTTCGAAGCCGTCCTTAAGAAGAGAGTCAGATTCAATTCGATCCTGTTCATGGTCCTGTAAACTGACCGCACTCAGAACCTTCCCATTACAGTTGCTGCTCTGGTGAACGACACCATTGGTACACTTATCGCATCCGCCTACACAGATCCGGCCATGAAAATTGGCTGCATCTTCGGCACTGGCTGCAACTCAGCCTACATGGAGAATTGTGGTTCAATTCCCAAACTCAAGCATCTCAACCTCCCCGAAGACACGCCCATGGCTATCAATTGTGAATACGGCGCCTTTGATAATGAACACGTGGTCCTACCTCGGACACCCTACGATGTCACGATCGACGAAAACTCACCCCGTCCCGGTCAGCAAGCCTTCGAAAAGATGATCGCCGGTTTGTACCTGGGCGAGATCTTCCGCCTTGTCCTGGTCGATCTGCATGAGAACAAAAACCTCATCTTCGAAAAACAGGACATCTCCAAGCTCAAGAAACCATACACCTTGGACGCCTCCTTCCTCTCCCTTATCGAAGAAGATCCCTTCGAAAACTTGTCCGAGACCCGTGATCTTTTCGAATCTATGCTCAACATTCAAGCCACCAAACCCGAATGTGAACTCGCCCGTCGTCTCGCAGAACTCATCGGTACCCGAGCTGCTCGCCTCTCCGCCTGCGGTGTAGCTGCCATCTGTAGGAAGAAGAACATTGAGTCATGCCACGTAGGGGCAGATGGATCCGTCTTCAACAAGTATCCCCACTTCAAGGCCAGAGGTGCCCAGGCGCTAAGGGAGATCTTGGATTGGCCGAAAGGGAAGCGAGATCCCATTGTGTTGAGCAGTTCGGAGGATGGGAGTGGTGTGGGGGCAGCGTTAATAGCAGCTTTGACCATCAAGAGGGTGAAACAGGGCAATACGGTGGGAGTCAGGGACCCGGAACATTATGAGAAATGCATGGGTTGAGAGGATCGGCGATAGTCGATAGTCGTGCAGTGCAGCTGGGGGACCGGTACTCTGCATGATAGAAGAGTCAAATACATTAGTTGCTCATTGACTGCTCAGAAACTACCCTTTGAGTCTCTTCCTCTCTCCTCTCGCTTGGTTTTGTTATACACCCCCTCCTCCAGGCCCAAGATGTTGACGATTAAGAAAGATGAGAACGGTGGTGTGCTAGTACTCCGTACTGACTACATATATCTGAGGCAGGCCGGGCTGCGGTATCGATAGAACCAGTAACTACTAGTGGACCGCGGAGGACTACCAAGTAGTTCGCGCACTTGAATGGTTGACCCCATGATGGACATGCTGCTTGAGTTGGTGTTCCGGGTGTATGCTTCAAGTCTGTGAGCATCTAGCGGAGGGTAAGAGGTAGTAACTAACTAGTTACTACTTACCACGTCACCTATGTATCTATGTACGCATGACTTCGGCGCGGTACCAGTATTACTATGACGAGACCAGGAGAGCGAGAGGATCCATCCAACCTTCACGTAGTGGAGCATCTTTCTTGCAGTATTTATGGTCCGTCATGAAGGATCTAATCCCCTTCTACAGCATTCCTCACGCCCTCGCCAGGTTGTCGACGAGTTCTCATTCCCTGATCTCCCACAGCCTGATGGTGCCCTGCTCATTGCCCACAGCCAAAAAGCCGCCGTCCGGACTCAACGCCACGCTCGACACCCTCCCCAACGGTGTCCTATCCGTCGGCCAGTTCCGATACACGGTGCAGCTGGGCAGGTGGACCAAGCGCAGCGCGTCCTTCTTCCAGCGGGAGGCCATGACGAGCATCTGGCCGTCGGTGCTGAATTCGAGGTGTGAAGTTGGCGTTGTGAGGTGCGTTAGCGTGCGCAGCGGTGTTGGGTTGGTCGGGATGGTGGTGCTGCTCCACTCGCGGCGATCGTAAATATTGACGATCCCGCTTGATGAGCCGGTGGCTATGAACCGGTGTCCGCCTAGGCCACCTTGCTTTCCTTTATTGTCTCCGCCCAGCGCAATCACGGTCGTGCCCACCGCCCCTTCATCCACCCACCGTCCTAGCACCCTCCGCTCCTGAACGTCGTATTCGCTGCACTCTCCATTCTTGCCCGCAACAACAATCCCGTTCCCGTCTCCCCACCATGCAAAATCCGCGACCCCACCCCGACTATCGATGCGGCACGTGCAGAGCCATTGTGTAGATTGCGTGGCCAGGATGTTGACGTAGCCGCCGCCTTTGCGCGCGGAGCCGATGAAGCCGATGTAGCGGCCGCAGGGAGAGAGACGGAAGGTCTCGGTTGTGCGTTGTGTGGTACGGAGATGCGGGTTGGAGGTGAAGGGGCGGGCGATTTTGGTGGTAACGCCTGTGGTGAGGGACCAGGTGTGGAAGTAGTGGCGGCGGGATGAGAGGTAAATTGTTGTTGAGTCTGAGGTAGGGCTTGAGTCCGAGGGGGGTAGGAAGGCAGTGCTATGTAAGGGGGTATTTTTGACGTGGAGAGATGTGAGGAGAGGATTGGGGTTTGGAGGGTGAGGGAACACTTGGTGGATCGAAATTGTCGATGATGGTCCTGAGGAGAGGATGAGTGGGTAGAAGGGGTGGAACTGGAGGGAGTCAACAGATGAGGGACCTTTAACTGTAATGTCTTTCGTGCGTTGAATGTCGAGGACTTCGGGGCGCAGCTTGCGACGTTTTGATGATTGCTGCGATGGGGACGCTGCTTGTACGAATGATCCAGCGGAACGTAGAAGGTCACTCAGCGCTTCAGTTGACGATTGATCAAGAACCTCGTCGTCAAGAGACATATCCGAGTCCGCACCGTCGTCTGAGGCGCTGCTTTTACTGTCCATCAAGTTCCTAGCTCTTTGCGAGCGCACTCTCGCCCATACTGGGGTAGGATGAAGTCGCTCGTATTGTCTGCGTAACCGCTTGATGTACTCCATGCCATTGATAACGTCATCTCCTTCCGCATTGCGTAGCTTGCGCAGCTGTGGATGGGAGGCAAGAGACACAGAAAGCCGGTCATCGTCGCTGTCCACCCAAGCTGGCGTTCGACCTGTATCCTGGTTGTCACCACTTAGACCATGCGTATCATGCCAGCCGTCCGGTAGGTTGTCTGCGCCAGAATCGAGGAAGAAAAGCTGCCGAAGATTACCTCGTCAGCGTCCCCAGGGTTATTCTGACATGGCTTGTACAAACGTTCTCGTCGGCAACTGACTCGAGATTCTCATCTTCTGCACTTTCTGCCACTGTGACAGTCCTTTCCGTCCTGTGCGTCAATTGCGACCCTGTAGGGTGCGATTTTAGCCCTTCGAAAAATCCAGCATCGTCGCCGAACAACAGCTTCTCCAGCTGCTCTTCGGTCTCGTCCTTGTCTGGGATTTCGTCGCTAGTAGAGCCTCCCTCTGCATCGTCGAGGAGGGGCTTTACTCCCACGCCGCGACCCGTACGCTTGCCGACCTTTTCTTTTGATCTTAGCGCCGTGGGTGCCATCGTTGGTAGAGATTCGCATGAACCACGTGAGTCGGTTGTAGTTAGTTGAGAGGGAAAATCTACGTAATAAATCTGTTTCGAAATATTTTGATCTCCAACTTGTCCGCCAAGATTTACATACATACAGCTCATCTCTGGGCTTGAAGAGGAAAATTCCCCACCACTTTCGAACTTCGGTTTCTCGAAGAAACTCCTCCCCACTCACCCACGCGGTTTCATCAGACGCAAAGATGACGAAGAGAAAGCTGGATGAGAACGATATACCTGCAGAGGCGTTCACTCCCGATACGCAGAACAGCGCTTCAAAGTTCGCAGACTTTAAGCTCGACGCAAGATTGCTGCGCGCGGTTTCTAAAGAGAAGTTCACCAAGCCTACGCCGGTCCAGACCGAAGCGATACCACTGGCACTGGCTGGCAAGGATATACTCGGTTTGGGATTGCTTCATGTACAAGAGATGGAAGACGTGCTGACTTCCGCCTAGCAAGGGCCGACACAGGTTCCGGAAAGACTGCTGCTTACGTCTTGCCTATTCTTCAAGCTCTACTTCACAGGAAAGCGAGAGCGCCGTCGGAGAAGTCCATATCTGCACTGGTGCTTGTCCCAACCCGCGAACTCGCAGAACAAATCTACAGAGTATTTGTGTCTTTCTCCTTATTCTGTGCCAAAGAGGTCCGCGCTGTCAACATAACACAGCGCGTATCCCATGATGTTCTTCGTTCGATGCTGGCGGATTTGCCAGATATTGTGATAGCGACACCTGGACGAGCCAGTCAGAACCTTAGCTCTGCCACATTTTCATTGGAAAAGCTTACACATTTCGTTATCGACGAGGCAGACCTAGTGTTATCGTACGGCTACGAGGCCGATCTAGATGCCATTTCCAAGGCATTGCCTCGAGGAGTGCAGACATTTCTGATGAGCGCGACATTTACCGCCGAGGTTGAGACGTTGAGAGGACTCTTTTGTAGGGATCCAGCCGTCTTGGAGCTGGGAGGCAGTCAAGAGGAAGGCACGGGTGTATCTCAATATGTGGTTAAGTGCGCTGAAGATGAAAAGTTCTTGTTGACATATGTCATCTTCAAGCTGCATCTTATCAAGGGTAAGTGCGTCATCTTTGTGAGCGACGTGGATAGGAGCTACCGCCTGAAGCTCTTCCTTGAACAATTTGGGGTACGGAGCTGCGTCCTCAACTCGGAACTTCCAGTCAATTCCAGAATACATGTCCTAGAAGAATTCAACAAGGGCGTCTATGACAACATCATCGCTGCAGATGATCAAGAAGTCCTAGGAGGAATTGCTTCCAGGAAGGCATCAGGGAGAGATCCAGAGAGTGAGCAGGCTGTGGACCCACAGGATGAGTCTGACCAAGAACCGGACGAACGCGCAATCAAGAAACGGAAACTTACATCAAAGCACAAAGATTATGGAATCTCCCGTGGCATTGACTTCAAAGACATTGCATGTGTGCTGAACTTTGACCTTCCTTCAAGCTCGAAATCATACACACATCGTATCGGACGCACCGCTAGAGCTGGCAAGACTGGCATGGCCCTTTCTTTCGTCATACCTACAGAGCAATATAGGAAACATAAGGCAACTAGCATTGCATCAGCAAAGCACGACGAGAGAGTGCTTGATAGGATTATTTCACGGCAAGCAAAGAGGGGCAAGGAAGTCAAGCCGTATCAGTTTGATATGAAGCAAGTTGATGCCTTCCGATATCGAATGAACGATGCTCTAAGGGCTGTTTCTCAGAACGCAGTGCGGCAAGCAAGGACCCGCGAGCTGAAGCAGGAACTACTCAAGAGCGAGAAGCTCAGAGCTCATTTTGAGGAAAACCCAGATGAGCTACGTCACCTGAGGCATGACGGAGAACTCAGAGCTACGCGTGTGCAGGCCCACCTCAAGCATGTGCCTGAGTATCTGATGCCTGCCAAAGCAAGGAAAGGCCTGGCAGCGAATGACCTGGGCTTTGTCGGGATGCGGAAGACGGGTGAGAATAGAATCCGCAGAGCAAGAATGCACAATCGGAACAAAGGTAGGCGGGCAGACACAGGAGCGAGGAAGATCGATCCTTTGAGGTCGTTCAATGCAAAAGGACGGCCTTAAAAGCTGTCTAAGAGAAATTAGTATGAATATCTAACATCCTCCTACTTTTTTTTTCTTTTCTTCATATTCTTTTCCGGCACAAGTTCTTCAAAGACTGCCTGAAATTCACTCCTGTTTCCGCAATCTTCCAACTACATTAGTCAACCAGCGTCAAGTTGCCCATTCCGATGATGGATCAACCCAATGGTGGTGCATCAGATGGTTGTTCACTCCATGAGACTCCTATCCTGCTAAAGACAAATGACTTCCCGATTGAACTGAAGAAGGCCACGATCTACAAATACACAATCAAGTTCTCTACCGAAAGCATCTCCGCCGCGGACAAGAAGTTTCTCGCCAGCAGATTCATGGGGAAGCTTCAGATCAAATGCAAGACCAAGTGCTTCGTATACGGCAGTCACTTTTCGGTGTTTTCTCCAAGTCCAGAATCCGAGCTAGTTGAAAACGCCCTTCAGGCGGTCTTCTTTCATGAGAAGGAGAGAGAACGGGAGGCTACTTATCTACCAGAGTCCTTACGAAGCATGAAAGCTCTCGGCAGGTTCCTAACTGATGTTGTCGTTAGGCGCACGAATCAGACTATCAAAACTGCTACGATATCCCCCGTGGACGACGATGGCCTGAGGATTTGCACTGTCTACGCAGACATGGTCAAAATTGATTTAGAATCTTTCCAAAGCAGACTCGAGGTCTCAGAAGCGGATGAGCTTATCCTTGGGAAACGTCGCGAAATCTTGACCGCTCTCGATGAAGTTTTTCTGCGCGAAGCTCATGACACGAGCTCCGTTCAGGTAAACGGCCACAGGATCTTTGACATTGCTGGGGAGGCAATCGCAGTTGGTAAAGGGGTTGAACTGCGAAGAGGCATCGTCGCGGACACCTGCATAGTCAATAAGTCTGTGGTGCGGCGGGTCACGCCCTGCACGGGATTCTTTCTCAGGAGCATAAATCTTGCCGAGCTTTTGCAAGCTTTTGGGCCCCTTACCGTGGACGAGGTCAGCCGGTTACTCAGAGGTATCAGCATCAAGAAGACCCACGGCAAGCAAGAAGTCATGCAACTACTTGACGTGATGGCTGGCAATCCTGATCAGGAAACATTCTACTGGAATAATGGCAAGACCACGACAGTCTCCCACTATATGGAGAAAGGTGAAGTGTTACCTGAAGTATCACGAGATTGAGCTAACAGATCATAGTCTATCGTTCAGCACCAAAGGTCAAGGAGTGCAAGGAGTATGCAAAGCAGAACTGTGTCCTTGTTGGATCGTCACGACATCAGGAAGTCCTTCCAACAACCATGTGCTCAGTTCTACCTGGTCAGTATTTTTCTCTCCCAGCCGGAACTTATTTTGGCACTGCTCAAAATGGTTGGCCGGAGAAGTTGACAGAGCATGCCCGCAAATGTTTCTCCAGAATGGACGGCGACTTCACAAAGCTGCTGAAGTGCTCAATGAGTCCAACGACCGCCAAACAATTCAACTTGAGTACTCCTGGCTTTGGCGAACATTCTGCCTTCAGAGCTAAGCGTTCTGATCTTGAGGAGCGCAGCGTGGAAGGCAAATTGCTCACAAAGCACATCGCGGTGAACAAAGAAAACTTGGATCTCGAGCGACCTATTCTTATTCTTATTTTTGCCTCATCAGACCATGAGAATCTGAAAACTCGTTTCACCAAAGCCTTTACCGAGCACGCTACGTTCAAAAAAGGTAGTGTTGTTTCGGTCCAAACTATTCACCTGTACGACGACAGCACTGCTAGCCAATTTATCTCGAATGCCCGAAAAGAATTGGCTAACTTGAACCCTGACGCTGATAACTTCAAACCGGCCATCATTGGCTTTTTCAGAAAGCCTCTGAGCCTAGGAAAGCTTGGAATCGATGAACAAGAGCGGCTCGAGTCAGAGGACCTTTGTCGCACTTACAATGCTACTAAGCTCTTCTGCCACAGGAAGGGGTATCACTTTGCAGGGACATTCTTTCGCCACATTGTCAAGTCAGGGGATGACCGCAGAATGAAAACGTTGTTGGTAAGCAGATTGAAGACTCAGAGCGCAAGTGTAGCCGTCTCGAAGCCCGTACTTTCGAGCGTGGATGGACCATGCAAAACTCTTCTGCTGGGCATCCATGTATCTCAGCTGCATTCCTTCGCCTCACAAGACGGCGACTCGGATGACAGTGCACCTCGAGCCTGTAAAGAAAAGCCATGTTGCTGGTACATCGTCAGCATCACGGCGAAGTGGTCAGGATCAGATTCCTTCCACAAAGCACGCACATTCTTGGTGAGGAGCTGCGATCTGTCAACGGGATCCTTTTCGGTCGCTCCTGCGTTCGATTCAGTAAAGAAGGCTATCCTCGAGCTTGTTGACGGCAAGTCTTTGACAGGATCTAAAATCATCGTCCTCCGGGCTGGGGTGCCAGCAGAAAGACAAATGCCAAAAGAAGACGCGCAACTGAGGGCTGCCGAATCGAAGAGCGTGGCAGAAAAACATGCTACGAAAGCAAAGCCCATGCTAGAATGCCTATTCACTTCCCCTGGTGGGGAGAAAGGCCCCAAATCTGAAGATGGGAAGGAGCTGACTGACCCAGAGAGCCCAACCGCAAGGAACAATCAGAAAATAATGGATTCCAACAGAGGTAAACCCGCTGCGAACGTGTCCAAGCCCCTTGCACACCGCGGTCGTGGAGTTGGTGCAAATGAGATCATGGAGAACGCAATGAACTCCTGGAGCTCTAACCTTTCCGGCGAAGAAGGTTCGGCACCAACTGAAGGATTGTCCAATACCGAGCTGCTATGTTTTAAAGAATGGGCGAAGGCTGAATATGCTAGTCTTGCATACGTGATGGTAGGTACTAGTACTCCAGCGCGCCTCTTTGAGCCGAATGGGATGCCATTGTGCGAGAGGAAATATTCCACCATTTTGTCGAAGGATTCTCATTGTACAAACCTCAAAGCCGTGTCAACTGTTCTAGCAACACCGTCCGCTGATTCCTGGATGCTTCAGAAGGTACTCCCGGAGAAGGCTGGCCCAAGTACACCGCTTCCGCTCGAGATCCTGTGGATAGATCAGGACATCGTCAATGACGGCTCCCTCCTCAGCTCACTCTCGCAGGCTTCGTGGGACTTTCCCGAGGGCACGTGGAGCTCCAAGAACTTGTCCTGTATTTCCTTGGCTAAAAAGGCAAATCGACATGCAAGACGAGTCATCCGTTTCGTCGACGGAGAGCCAGTCTTACCTGAGGTGAACGAGTATCTCAAAGATAGTCTCTACTTCATCTGATCGGGGTCATGAGAGCCTCATTGATGATTGGACGATGAAGGTGGTGGAGGTAGTGGTGGCAGAGGCTGACATTACAATTGGCGCATTACATTATTGCCCGGTCTCTTTGGACTGATGGTCCCATTTAATGGGTATAGACTTCACTTCTTCAATCAACTCACTTTAGACGCCAGGACGCTGTTGAATTGATTTGAAATATGTGACACCTATGTAGCCGCTATGGACCTGTATGAAACGGACTTTTGTCTTTTATAAGAGTTTCAAGCATATCCATCGCCTTCCCGGCACTCCGAGCCTTTTCCGATGAAAGCAGTCGAGCCTGATCCACTCCATCTGATCCCGACAACTGGAAATTTTCATCTGAGAATAAATCTGCTTGGTGCTGTGTTTATTTAACGGAATGCTTTGCGAATACTCTAGTTAGTACTAAGTATCATGCACATCTTCGGATGTTCGAGCTGAGCTTGGCATGATAGTCTGCAGTAAGTATGTATAGGATTTCGTGCAAGTAGGACCTAAGAAGAATTTGCCTCTATAGAGACCGACATATTGCCTGTTATTGTGGATTAACTAAGCCAAGGTGGGAGGCGAAACACATGTAACTACAGAGTACTACTAGAACAGTAGTGGGTGGGAACCAGATCTAATCAGATTGTCTTGAAGGATCCGAGTGGATGATCCTGGGCCTGCTAAGTGATGAAGTGGAATTCTATCTACCTGCTGAAAGGAGGAGAGACTAATACTACTGCGCAGAGTGCGGTCATGTGATGCCAAGGGTTTGGCTGTACGCGTACGGCCAATTCCGCCACCAAGAGATGCCCGTGCAGAGATTGAAGCTATATAGTACTAGTTAGAGTAAGTCGAAGCTTTGGTGTCATAGAACGCTCACAACGACTTCCAACACTATCAATATCCTTTCCATTCTTGCTTCCCTTAGAGACTTCGTTCTGCAGGCTTCCAGCCCCTGAGGCTCTTACGTTGTAATTCCGAATCTATGCCGAAGAAGCAGAAGAATCCACTGTACACGAGACCGTCAACGAAGCCACATCCATCATTGACACTTTCAAACTCCACAACTCCAGCCCTCTATGGCTCCACAGGCCTCGAAGAGAAACCTTCTGTCACAGAGTGTCTCAGAACACTCAGAAGTGAGGAGGCCGGACGTTTGCTGCCTAGACCAGCGCCAGTGGCTACAGTCCATCCATCTCTAAGAAACTTATTGGACGTGCCAGAAACCCGTCAGCCTGGCCCCAGAACTGGTGTCCGAGCATCAGGTCCAGCACAAACACGCCGTGTCCCAGGTCCGGCTGCTCCACTGAGCTGGCAACTTCTTGCAAGTCGTCATACTCGCAGAACCGTACATAACGAATTCATTATAACGCCCAACTATGCAATTCAGAATATGATTCACGAGCAAGTTCCCTTGCCCGGGGCAAAGCTTCCTCCAAGACGAAGTCTCCTGGATACCGTTTTGAGAAGTATGGCAGACAACTGGGATTGGCATCTACAACATGATCATTACTACTTGGCATATATTCCCATTCGTCTGAAGGAAGCCCTCCTCAGTTACATCTCCAGACATACATCAGAGGAACGTTTGACAAGATCGATTACTACTTTGCGTATACTTTTTCCTGAGTACAGAAGCCTCGAAGAAGAAGGTACAGGACACCAGATGCCCGTGGAGGACGCCATTGAAGTTATGCGGCTAGATCTGGGCCGAGCCCTTGGTACTTGGCTCCGTACGATGTCATCGTTTAAGAAAGAAGTCATTCGACCTCTCACACTACGAGATTCCACAGCCCCAAGTGCCAACACTAGAGATCATAGTGTACGAGAAGCAATCAGTGAGCCACCAGAAGCGTGGGACGATGCAGATGGAGCTGCTAGGGACATTACGAGCCAGCTGTCTCTATCCGGACCCTCAACAAAATTGCCAGGAACAAGGTTTTCAAAGCTTCTGCATCTCTCGTTGGCTCTATCCCCATCGGCGATGTCTTCCACATCGGGAGCCTCTTGGTCATCGCTACTCTCCGTTACGCCCTACTTGTCAACTCTTCAGTCGCTGTCGTTAGGATACTGGCCTTCTCCCACTCTTACACCCCACGCAGCAGCAGCATCGGCTACAATACGCAATCCTGTGGCGAGGACGTTACCAAGGATATCATATGGTGGGACAGACATGTATACTGAATCAGAATCAAACTGGCGGGAAGCCGCAGGTATTTTGAGAAAACTCAGCCGCCACCTTTACTGTTTGAAATGGCTCGACTTGACCGGTTGTGGCGCATGGTTTGGTGCGCTTTCGTGGACGGATACGGAGGCACTGGCCGATGACTTGAGCTCAGGAATCAGGCTTCCAGGAGCTGGGCCAGACTGGAACGGTTCATGGCGGAACGTCGAGTACCTTGGACTTTGTGTGGGATGGACCTTGACTAGCTTCCAGGATAGAGAGATGAACTCTACAACTTCCCAAGCGCGTCCCGCCAAACAGCCTGATCCTCTACCTCGCTCATCTGCCAAGGTAGAAGAATCAAGGGCAAGCACCAATGGTTTGGGTTTGTTCAACCAAGACTGGGATGTCGAAGAAGAGCGTAAAAAGTACTTCGCCAAGAAAGAACTGGAGAAACTCAATGACTTAAAGTCAAGAGCACGTAAAGTAGCCAGACACGTGAGACTTGTCCGCGAGGTAGCTAGGGGCAAGTGGATTGAGGTTGACCTCTAGGACGACATTAGCTTGCATACCGGGTGGACAGACCAGAGCCTCTCATCCCACACCACTCGCCGCCACAGGTTGCATGAGTCCGTTGGGAAATCCTCGCACTTGGTGTCAATAAGGGTTGGACTGCTTCTCCGCAGGATTACGGGGATTCCATGCATGTAAGTGAAACTGACGGCTGGATACGAGGGGCCATGGTACTGCTACTTACGTGCTTCATCCATGCTAGCCACTCGAAGACCAGGAACTTTTGACATTGCCTGGCAGATGGCACAATCAGGATTTCAATCCCAAGCTGATGTTTGGCCTAGACTTCCTAAGGATCCGGAGAAGTGCAGTCCTCTCTCCTTGTCTGTCTCAGTATTGCATAAGTCCGGTATCAGCTAGCTGCAATCAGGCTTGAAACAGACGATACCGTCACGGACCAGCTGTAATGAGCTGCCTGCAGGTGATACTACTGTCCGTGATCGTACGATGGTGTGTTCTACAAGGAAGGCGTGTGGGCTGGTCCAGTAGCCAGATAGATGAGACGGGAACACTTCTAGGACAGGAGCCAATCATTGGCGGAAGATACTGAAGCTAACCCGTCTACACAATCCCTGGCTCTACCCATGCATTCTTCACGATAGTGGGCAGGAGAACGCGAGCAAAGGATGGGGTCTGACAGAATCCTTAGAAATGGAGACTCGTGTTTGAGAGCGCCTTGACAGCACCTCAACTACGACCGTGTTGCCAACTGGAGCGTGATAGCAAGTGTGGCCGTCGGTGCTTGCGTGCGGAGTGCTCTCATACGCAATGGGGGCTGTGCTCGTGTACATGACCATGGATGCTGTTATGTAGTGGGAGTCCGGTCGTGACCACCATCTTCACTCTCCCAACACTCGTGGTGTGATGGTGCAGTGTCGGATTCAGCGACCAGGTGGGAATTTCAAGTAGGCGAGTACAGCCTTACTTATACCCACAGCTACTCGCTTCGCGCTCATGCTCGAATTCTGCCCGGACCATCGGAACAGCTTGGCGCACCAAGAGCCGCTGGTAACACTGGCATCCGGGTTGGAAACAGCCCAGTAGGCTTCGATTACTGCACCTGTGCTTGGTAGCAGATTGCTCCATCTTGTTAAGTGCCTGGTTTGGTGTTGAGCCCTGGTTCCTGGCAGGTGCCTGTCCACCACAATAGAAATACCAAAAATACCGATACAGCCTTTGAGCAAAGCGAAATGAACTTTACGCATGTTGATCTGCTTGAGATGGGGAGCATTTCGAGTATTCTTTTCCCGTACATGCGGCATATGCCAGGAGAAGTCGATAGCGTACTATGGCATGAAAGCTGGCCGTCAATAATACTGACACCTTGGCAATGATATCAACTGTCATCATTCAGAGCAGCCGGGTTTACGTAGTAATGCTTCTGCTCCCAGGTAAGGTGGCGCCTCCAGTGCCTGTAAATCTACAACTACCAGGCCTACGGATACATTTATTCTCAGGTACTTCAATATCTATCCCTTAGAATACTGTTCTCCTACAAGCTTCCTCCGGAGACTCTGTGGTATCGAACAACGATATCGGACAGCTCTGTGAAATGGCCCGAAACAGTACGTGGGATTAGGGTGCCAGCAATTTTGACAGTTACACCAACATCCGCAATGAGAGTGACATTGCTGATCAGGAAATATCGCCACAGAAGGCATGACATCAACGTGCAACCCAAAGCGGAAAGAGAGCTGTCGTCCTTTCCTGCTAATCAGGATCATCAATTCTTCAGTAATGATGCGGGGACGGCCTTGCGTGACTCCATAATGGTTGCTATGGAGGTGCGACAGACGATCAGTAGTATTGCTCTGCAAGGCCGCATTGATGCCAAGCAAGAGAATCGTCGGTTCCGAAGATTCTTAACGAGTTCGAACGTGCCCTTTAGCAGAGCTAGTCTTCGGTTCCGAACTTCTTCTAGAAGATCTCGTGGAAGGTTGGGATCGGATGTTGATTTGTGCACTTCACTTTGCACGCATTAGACACAACTGCGGCACAGGTCGATCCTAATTCCTCACATGCAGACTCTTCAAGGCTATACAGCCAATCTCCCGTCGAATCTGGATCCTTGCAAATGCAAGGCACGCGACTTATGAAGCCAATTGGTCCAATCCGCTTTATCAGCTGGCGTTGATAGGCGAATACGTCGAACATATATCGCTATCTCCTACTTCGGGCTATTCGATATCACGCTAGACTCTCTTGAGCGATCTTAACGTTGACCTCAAAGCAGCATGAAGAGAGTAGGCGGGCTCTGTCACTCGTGCTGGGACCAGGTTCATTTCGTCTGAACATATAGTTGTAGTTGGCGTTATTATGCATGGGCCCGTGATCCTAAGAAGGGGGTGTGAAGGCTGTTGCTGCCAGAAACGCCAAGAAACGCCAAGGAAAATAAACAGAAATAAGCATGGTCAAGCCCTTCAATGAAAGCCTTTGCAAGTAATTACCAACTTGAGTTGAGTGCAAACTGTTGCATCTTCAAGACTACAAACTGTCGTACAGATGGACGGTTCAAAGGGACAACGTGGCCCGCGTTCATGCTAATGGGTATGAGTGCTTCATTTAACCGTCTGCAGTTCAATTAACCCACGCAATCAATAGAGAACACCGCGACGCCATCAGAAGGTTAGTTGCATCAGTCAACTCAAACCGCAACATCATCAGCAGGTAAGATAAGTCGCTCAAGTGCCCTCACCTCGGACGACCAAAGTACACATGCAGAATCCAGAATCCAGAATCCAGAGTCCTTTGGCTGGCCTCCCTCATGAGGAGGTACCCATTGATGCTGAGCAATTCACTTAAGACTATGAGCTGCAGAACATTGGGCATGTCTTGCACAAGGCTGCTTGTGTTGCCAGACACCCTGCTGCACTGGCATTCGAATCCATCTAGGCCTTGGCGGCTTTGAGAAGAACAATCAGGAATGAAGTCGCTCACAAGTGGTGCAACCATACTCGCTCTATTTGACAGTCTGGTGATGCATCTACACTGCAGTGCAGTATGTTATCTCAACGGGCCCTGTTTTTCACCTGCTGACACGTTTCTTGGTGAATGAAATCAAACAGGCTCCAATGCTGCCCATCCATCCTTTCCACAGGCCTTTCATATGGACAGCCAAGGAGGTCGCTCATCCTTGGATCGTAGATCTCATCAACGCAGCACCCCACCTGGCTGCTTCTAGAAACGGCTGCTGGATGTCTGACCCTCTCAACTACCATTTTTTTTGCCGCGGTGCAATCTTTGTATCCGGCATATTCTGCTTGCTCTCGGTCATTGGATCCGGACTCTCTCGGAATTAGTACCAGCTTCTCGTTACGCGTATACTGGTTGGGGCTGGAATGGATTGCGAAGCATCATCAGTACCCGTCTATGCGGCCAAGAAATTGCCCTGCTCTTATTCGTGAAAGCCTTGTCATGAGCTGGCAAATGTGGACTGCGTTAGGTACCTTCCTGGAATTCTGAGCCAACCTTCCGTCTACAACATTGGAGCAACCTCATGGTGCTTGCAATTCGATTCGGCGCTCATCCCGGACGTTCCTTTGGGACCTTTGGTGTTTACTTCTGCCCAAGTAAGCCCACAAACTTAGAGAAGAGCTTTTGAACCTAGTCCAGACCTTTCATAGGAATCTCCACGCTGGTGTATGAAGAAGAACCGCTATCGAGGTGCGTACCGATCACCTTGCCGCCTATGCAGGACGCCACTACCGACAGCTCGCGATTTCTGCTATGTTCACGCCCAACTACGTGAGGAAACTGCTGTTACTGGTTCTCAAGCAAAGGAACCACGTCAAACGTTTCTTCGGGTTGCTCACAATGTCCCGGGTTTGCCGAGCAACTCTAGCTTCCAGTACCGTCATGATTGCACAGCAGATCGATGGAATCAACAACGTTGCATTATACTGGTCGCCAATCTTCTACGATGCAGGTTTTGGCACCCTCCAAGCACTTCTCGTCTCGTGGGGCTATGGTCTTGACAACTTCGTCTTCGCCCAGCCCGCGATCTGGACCATTGACACATACGGGTGGCGCACGCTTCTGCCGTTCACGCTCGGTCAGCTGACGTGGAGCCTTCTTCTTGCTGGCCTGTCCCATCTCATCTCCCAGACGAACAGAGCCCCGTTTTGGACTTGTCGCCCTTTTCGTCCATCTACTTTCCGCCTTTCAATCCGCCTGGTGAGGGGCCAATGCCAATTACGTACTCTGCCGAAGTGTTTCGGTTGTCTCACAAAGAGGTAGGCATGTCCTGGACAATAGCAATGTGCTTCTTCTGGTCCGGAGTTCTTTCGGTCTCATTCCCCTCTTTCTTAGCTACGGCGGGCACTGCAGGTGCGTTTGGATTCTACGCGTGAGTTCATACATAATCTTGCATGCACTCCGGCTCCCATCGACTCAATCTACACGAGTCTGAGTGCTATAGCTTTTGCTATGATCTTCATCGTCGTCCCCGAGACCAGATAGCGTATGCTGGAAGAGCATGACTATGGTTTTGCCGCTCCTACAAGCACCTTCATGAAGCACTAGACTAAGAGAAGGCTCTGCCTTACTGTATCTAGAAGCGGGTCTTGTTCCATCGATCAGCTCGTCTGGAGCGGGTCTATCGATTCGACGATGTGCATGAGGTGAACAATGAGGAGCGCATCTAAATTTGGGTTGCCCCATGCTGTTTCAGCACGATGAGCTACGTTGAAGACTTGATCTGTGGAGCAAGAACTAGCACGCGCCTGTTCGTATCGGATGTAGTAGCACGATGAACGACATGCAGTCTGTGTTTGTTCTCCAAGAACTTAAATTGGTTGATTTCAAGTACCTTGCAGCTAGTTCGATCCTGGTGAAATGTGGAGAAGTTGGCCGAAGGCCTTCATCATCTCTCTCAGCGGGTGGGCCCGCACAAGAGATCGTCCATTTGTACTGGATACGTGGTACAGGGTCAATACCATTTCAGGTATAATGGTAAAACAGCGTTGGTACAAGTAGGAAATTATAGTTGAAATTATAGTTTATCCCTCACAAACGGAGAACTCGCCATTCCACTGGTCGAAACAGTGGTCCTTGGTGACCCTGCTGGCACATCATTTTAGCCTGATCGAGAGTTAGGCTTCAGCAAGACGTCTCGCTTGAGTGCCAGACTCGGTTACCCCGTCCTGAACTGTTAAATCACTCGTCATGTGTCCTGGGTTGATGTGCTGTAGTGCCAGTATCCCGTGTCCTAGTCAAGTTGGCCGGAAAGTTAGCTTAGCTCCTGCTAAGGCCCCAGGGGCGCCAGCATGCCATGGTCCAGGGTACTTGGAAGTTTTGCGTCAACTCTGTATGAGCCCTACCGTTCCCAGTAAACAAAGGTTGGAAGGGGGGGCCAGACCCCGCAATGACTGAGACCCATAAAGACACACGCAATGTCGCAGTCCTTGCGGAAAGCTAATCCTGGCCGAGCCTGAGTAGAGAAATCCCGAAGAGGAAAGTAATGGTATACTTAGTAACCGATGCTTCTTCCGTCACAGTTACAACCAACCTCGAAGATGAGCTCGACGAGGCGGCAACCTACCCGCGTCAGCAAGGCATGCGACCGCTGCCGGAGGCAGAAGCAGAGAGTGAGCATATGTCCTCGAGTGTTCCGCTGAGAAGTATCTGACTTGAGGTCCGCTTCGCAGTGCGATTTCTTCCGGCCATGCTCGATATGTACTCGGATGAGGGTAGAATGTACCGCCAACGGTAGCGACCCGAAATCTCGTGCGAAGTGAGCAACCACCACCTACCAAATGTCAAGAAAGCAAGCAAGGAAACTGACACTGTCCTGGGTGGCAGAAGACGGAAATCTTCTGCCCCAACGACGGAACTCATTGCGGCGAGTGTGGCAGAAGAACTCAAACTCAACACGGTGACTTGCCCCGAAAACGTACCTCCTTCAACAAGAAGTGTATGCTTCTCAGATGCTCCCAACGACATCCATCAGGATCCTCATCCAAGTGGGAACCCGGTTACAGATCCTTCCCGAGTTGAGTTTGTCTCCGACGAGTCAGGTACGTCATGGCATGTCCTTGAGAGAACAACGAGCCACGGCTCTCGAGACGTTTCTTCGCAATCCCCAAGACCAGCTCTGGCAGACTTCGGATATGCTGAGTCTGCGGTGGGACTCTCCAAGAAGGCAAGTCCTGAGCCCACAAATGGAACTCGATCTATATTTCTGACCAGCACAGATCCTTGAACTTCGAAATTCTCACACGTCTGTACGTGCGACATACGCAATCCCCGGTGGAGAGTCCTTTGTGCAGCACAACCAACCTCTGAATCCTCCTTGTCTCGTTCCTGTCCGGGATTTGATTGGCTTCGATCTGCCTGATGCACAGATATGTGATGTTCTTGTTGAGACTTACTTCTTCGCTGTCCACTGGTTTTCCCTCGTCATCTATGAGCCGAAATTCCGAGCACAATATCAACGGATCATCACAACCGGCTACGCGAGTCGTTCGGAGTATGGCTTCCTTCTTCTCTTGCTCATGGTGCTCTCTCTCGGATGTTGGTACGGCCCAATACCAGGACAGAACACGTCGGATGGCACTGCTGAACTTGGTCGGATGCACGAAATGTTCCTAAAGAAAGTGCGCGAGCAGTTCATGGACATCATGGACGAGGATAGTCTAGAGTACGTGCAGCTGTGTACCCTGCTGGGATCATTCTACCTCTATCATGGTCGTCCACGATCCTCTTTCTCAATCCTGGGTGCTGCCACAAAGAGTGCCCAGGCCATGGGCCTGCATCGCGATTCGGGTTCCAAGTTTCCGGAAGACATTACTGAGGAACGGAAACGTCTTTGGTGGACAATATACACGTGGGACAGGTTCGCCACGATCGTATATGGGAGACCGCTCAGCATCAACGACCAAGACTGCAACGTGCTTCAGCCCGCCGAGGTGATTGAGAATATTCACTTTGATCGAACACTTGGTCCGGAACGGATCTGTCTTTCTATCTACCAAGCACAACTCAACGAAGTGTACAAAATAGCATCTCCCATAATCGAGAACATCTATGGCATCAGAACATCGACGGATCTTCGGATACGCTCTATGCTCCCTGAGATGATCACGCAAGCCAGTCACCAGATGCGCGAGTGGCAGAACAACCTGCCACCCTACCTTGCTCTCGACAAGATGAATGACATTTCGCCGTCCTGTTCGACCTCAGAGAAAATGCACCGATTGCAAGCGCTGTCATTGCAGCTCACTTATGACAATCTCATGATAATTATTCACAGACCTTTGCTTGCGGATCAGAGAGCCAGTCTTACCAAATTCCGGGAGCGCGCCCAAGGCCAGGCAAGACCCAGCGAAGTCCCCCCGGAGCTCCATTTCCCAACCGCCAACGAGGATTCGAACTTCAAGGAATGCCTCGACTCCGCTCTGCGCGTTTCCAGGGTCCAAAATAAACCCGAACTGATGAAACTTGCAGCAGAAACCCATCTGGTTGCCTTTCTAGGTATGAATTTGTTCACCTCCTCTGTAGTGATGTCGGTGTGTGCTCTCTCGGATCCTCTTTCAGATACTGCGCAAGAAGCAAAACGAGGCATAACGAGGACTCTGCTGGTTCAGAAGTCTCTTTCAAGGCGGACATCCTTGTCGATGCAGAGCAGTGTGATCCTCGAGGATATTGTACAGCTGATACTGGAAAGAGAGAGAGAAGAGATGCTACGAAGTGCTCAGTCCGGTCTCATACACCCTCAACTAAACACCCTACAGCAACATCATGACCAGTCCCTCCAGGGAACTCCTACTAGTGTCTACGGTAACGAGATGGGCACTTCGCCAGGTTCCTATCCGACGCAGATGGTTGCTGGAAATGGAATCAATGTTGATTCTGGTGATCAAGTGCTGAACAACAGTCTTATCAGCCTTCAGCGAAGTAAGTCCGCACACCCCACGTTTTATTCTGTCGTACCCGAGGACATCTAAGCTTTGGACACTGGTTACGTGCAACAACATATACTGACCACTTCTCTATAGTCATCCAAGAAAGCTCTTACTCGAGGCAACAGAGGCCCGCCGAATATTTCTATCGGCACAACAACTCTATCATGGCCCCAGAGATGGGCTGTGATACGGGGAGCAACGTCAGCGAAGATGCCATGCGGAGCAATGACATCGACACGTCGTGGATGGAAGACCTTGGTCAGACCTGGTTATGGAATATGGAGCCATTCAGTTAGATGGCGCAGGAAAGCATGGCTACTGACTAGTAGCTAACCGTCCCAAAAGTTTTGATTTACGCTTGTGTGACGCATGATCGTTACAAGAACCCCCCGCTGTACAAAAGACGTATGTTTGACTATGGAAGATTGCGCAACTTTTGCCATTCGTTATCTGGAACAGTGTGTATGGGTTGGCGTCCTGTTTTGTTGCCACGTATTCACAATCGCTATGTCGGGTCTTATCGGGCCCTGAGTGAGCTGCAGTATCTGAGGTGTTTTTCTTACTTCGCTTGCTATTCAGGGATCTGTTAAGCATTGACGCAATCTTACCAAGCACGGTTCCGAACATCACGTGCTGCTTTTAGCGGCTCCGTCTATGATATGTTTGTCTCAGCCATAAGGGCCAGGGAGATCAAGCGTTGCGCAGAGAGATTGCAGAAGCCTCCCAACATTTACATAATGCATTGAGATCGACGTGGATGCAAACGACATCAGTGGGAAGGGAAGAAGTACTACAATATCGTTTTACAGCAACTGGGAAAGCATTTGCCTCGCTGCAGCATGAAGGTCTCTGATTTAGAGTTCATGTCTCCTGAGACATTCTCTTGATACTCCTACCTCAAAGAGAGTTTATGGGGCCTCAGAGCTAGGCTGCTTCGACCGAGTGGCTTCGCTGGCAGTAAGAAACATACGCGATCATCATCAAGCCGAGCAGGATAACCGCGAATCTTTCACTAAGGCATTCCTACAACGATGGGTCCATCCCACAATGCCGCATCCGTCCGAGTACGGCCACCGCCAGCGGTGTCTTTCACATTGTGTTTCACATTTCGGGCGGTCCGTTTCGTCTACCGTCAGTCATTCTGCAGCGCGAACTTTCACCGCTGATCATCTATTTGATGTCTGCAATCTGCCAGAAAGGGACACGGAGTCTGAAAAAAGCGACGAAAGAACAGCTGGAAGATTGGCACTGCACAGGTGGCACCGCCCCGCAAGTCTGGCAAACACCTGTGCGGGCTATCGGGAGCCTCTGGCATTCACTGGCGGACCTTTTCACTTGTATAAGTATAAAAGCAATATACGTTGGGCAGTGTGGTGTCTACAAAAATATGGAGAGTACGAAGTGAAGAAACTTCAGGCAATCACTCCTACTCCAGCAAAGAGATATCAACTGCTATCCTGGGGGATGCCATCCTCTGGTGACAGAGTATCTGCTCATGGAGGACGTGAAGGTCTCCTGCATACAATCTGGCATCCTGAGCAGCCAGCACATAGCAAAATCAAGGGCGATTATTGCATCGCTGTCTTGTTAAATTCATCGCAACACCGTTTCCGTCTTGCTGATTGGGTCTTCCCGTACTCGCATCATGCCTATAATAGTGCGTTATGAACTGCCAGGGCTCTTCTCGTCAACAGCCTCATCTGTGGCTCGCGATCGCGGTGGTAGGCAACCTCTAAATCGAGAACTTAAAACTCAACACGATCTTCGACCTTCGTAAATGATAAATTTTCGCTGTCCTTCGATCACCCGACCAGTTTTCTCCACGTGGAGACGGGACAGACCAGCCAACTAAGTTTCAGACTAAGATCGTCCATTCCAGATAAGGTTTACAGGCTTTCCCACCCGATCGCCGGAAAAGGTATCATGATCGAATCTTCTGGAAGGCGGTTAGTTGGAGGATATTCGAAGAAGCCCGCAAGCGCGACTTGTCGGAACCCCACAAACCTTAGCAAACCTTAGAGCGTCACACCGCTTTTTCTGGGGTGCGCCACCGATGTCCCAGAAATCGGCCAAACGGGATAGCATCTATTTTCGGGGCTGGATGCAGAATTTTTCAACTCAGATTAGGTACGTAGCTGCAAGATAACAGCGGCTGACCAGTGACGAGGCGCAGAGCAGCTGCGTAAAGCTTCGGTGGAGCCGTTGCACAACTCACTACACTTAATGGTCTCGTGTCCACATCAGCAAGAGTGAAGTTTGTTGGCAGAAGTGGCTGATCGGCTAGCAATTAAATGGACCATATGAAATCCCGCTTCTGTTCCAAGCGAAATGGTGCAATTTCCCCAAATGCGTCTGGCTAAAAGTACTCATTGAATTCATGATAGCGCATTGTTAGTGCCGCTCATTAGAAACTTTGCGGTTTGGAAGGTTGGGATGCTTGAAGTCCTAGAGGTCACAGATGTAAACGATTCAACCTTGAAATGCTTAGGGCTGAAGAACATGGGCCCGAAGCTGGAAATGGGGAGAGCATCCGAGCTCTAAGCTTCGAGCTTCGAGCTTCGTCATTCGTCACGCTAACTGTCTGGCCAAGGTTACTACGTAGTACATGTCTGAAAATTGATACCGAAAATCTGTGGCTTTCTTGTATCCGGTAACCATCTATTACCGCCCATGACTGGCACGCTAATTCAGCCGTTTTCAGATGGCTGACCTCTACGTACGTAGTAGCACAGCCTCGCGAACAAAGGACCCCCCTATTATACATCTTCAGGTAGGCAAGCAGAGCTAACTTTTGGCCCCTATCAAACCATGACATTATTTCCAGTATTACATCACTACTATTTGAATCTCTCAAGCCACTGATACAGCAACCAAAAAGCAAAACGAGGAAATACATTATGCAGACGTATACAGTATTGTCCTGTCAGTCAATTACGAGTTTGTATTGAAGCTGAAGCTGAGGCTGTTTTAGTGTCTGGTCGTCGTCGGGCAACGGCCTGTCAGTGTCACTCCATGTGGAGTCTGAGGCTGATCAGTACTCCGTCATCTTAACATATTGACAGCGAGCTATGCTGTACTTGGTCCACATCACTGCATGCCTTAACTGAGGATTTGCCTGCTAACAAACACGTTGGGCCTGGTTTAGAGGTACACTAAGTCAATGTCACTCTACTGTTTGATCCTCGCACCAAGTGCATTCTGGAAGCCCACAGAAGCCGTCTTTTGGCCCTAATTCTATGACAGCACCACTTGCCCACCTCCATGCGGAGCTTCTGGCGGATAGCTTTGAGGCTGTTTCACTAACTAAACTGTGTGGGTCTCAGCCACTGGCAACTTCATATCGTGCTCCTAATTTGCAACCCTCTCACCAGCGCAGCGAGCGCCACACACGACAGCATGATACACTTAGTGGCTCCCGATTGAATACCGGGCAGTTCGTCACGGACAAGCCTGTTCCGGAAGCAGAAGGAGGTTTCCCATTTGGTCCCTTGGTCTATGTCAGCCTCTGGGACCCATTTTTTTGTGGCTCTCTTGGCTGACCAGCATTTACTTGGTGGCGGACGACCTGGAAATTGCTCGGCTCATACGTGATGGACCTGGCCTAACATCTCTCGTTCTGTTACGCCGCTCCTAAGTAGTAGTTTTTGGCGATGCCCCTCATCGAATCCACCGAGCGCCATGGGAGCCCCAAACACACTAGGTGCCTACTACTGCGTCTCATGCAGTTACGAAGTACCATGCATTTTGATACTCAACCTTACTACGGCACATTGTCTGTTCATAAAGACCCGCCTGCTCCACATGGAATATTCTAGCTGCTCGGCATCCGTGTTGACCAAAGTCGCTCATGGTCCACTGCCTCAGCCGCCCCAGACCAGCCCAAGACCAAGAATGACCAGTGGTGTGAGACGTTAGGGATGCCGCCAAGGTATTGAACCACGCACATCTACGGAGTACATGAATTTTATCTAGCATAGCCCAACTCCTGGTACTCATACCGTTCAAAACGTTACCCCGTCACTTCGTTTCAGGACAGGATTCGACCACCATACGAGCCTCTGCAGACCCTTCGTACAAGATCTTGTGGAACGGATTCAGGCTAGTCACCGTCTCACATTTGATAATTTCTTTGGCGAATTGGACACCTTGCGATGACCACGAGCCGAGGCACGCCACAAGGGCTGAGAGTTTCAAGTCACTACGGAGTACATGAGTAGCGATTGGTCATGCAGCGCTGAAGAAAGGGTTAAGGTAGCCGAGCCATCATGCCCTCGTGGAGTTCTTGGTCGACCACACCCGGCCCTCGTTGCCAACGAGTCGAGACGCAACGCAGTTACCACTGTCGCAAGCCGTGAGCCTCAAACACCATAAGATTCATGGTTGTGCGACATCTCGAGCCACCCGGCTAGCGACTTTACCAGTCAAGGAAATACTGTCCGATGCGGTTGCACCCTTTGTGGGACTAGAGTGAGGCATTAGCAAAATATCCTTATGTTCTGACATCACTCGCTCTACTCAGGCGTGCTCGAAGTCTGCTGCATGTCTGGCACAACGGCCTCCCTGGGCAGGGCTCTCGCGTCATGTGCACACAGCAGAATTCTATTACTTGAAGACTGGTCTGCGGCGAGTAAGATGGCCCTCGTAAAGGCGAGGAAGGACTCCCCGTTCACACTTTATATCCTTAGCCACATACAGCCATAAATCGAGAGCTGTCTCTAGTAATTTTTTCCATGGCATGCTACGACTTGCAATCACGTGTCTGAGACCCAAAATGTACAGGTTTGAATCCTCCATCGCCCTGGAGAGATATAACTACTCCCATACAGTGAAGGGGGTCGCTTGTCCCGTCCGAGCTACACAACTCGTCTGACGGTAGGTGCGCTTGGAGCTCGTTAGATGATTTTCGCAGTTGTCACATGTACATGCTCCAGACTGTTGATCTACTGCAACAGCAATATGTCCTCCTTCTCCTCCCTTTCTCCATGATCGAAATCAAGAAGATATGTAATAACCAGCTATGTAGTAGTGTAGTCAGCCATCCATCCATGTATTCTTGCCTTTCCCCCCTCCCCGTAATTAGTCAGTCTGTCAGTGTGTCCCTGTTATGAATCTATCCTCCGTCCCCAGCTCGTCGACCTTTCGAGCCCCGCAAAAAGGGAGGGAAATAAGTTACAGATTCCCGTTTATGTTGGGTCGGGAAAAAGGCAGAACAGAACAGGATAGGACACCTGTGGGATTCTTTCCCCCTCCACTCCAGGTTCATGTCGGGCGCACATATATGTACTACCCCCATCGGAAGTCAGGAGTCAGAAAACGGGAAGTCTCCGTGGGTGGGAGGCATGATTGCCAGTGTTCTCCCTTCTGGGGATGGATAGTCTGGTCCCCGCACATATTTGGCCGGGTCGGGTCAGGTCAGATCAGATCAGATCGGTTCGGGTCGGCTGGTGGCTTCTCGATCAATCAATTCCAAGGGGATCGTTGTGTGGGATCTGTTGTGTTTGGGATAAGATTATGTGGATGGTGGGTATGGATGCAGCGCTGGGTGGTGCTGGGATAGGGAGAGGGGAGATGGTGATATCTACTCCTCTCCCTTCCCGGGCGTCTGTTCTGCGAACTTTTTTTTCCCCTCGGTTGATCTAAGGCGTGGGGAGAGAAGGGGGGGGAGAGAGAGGGAGGGGAGAGAAGGGGAGAGAGAGAGAGAGAGAACCCAATTGTTCCTCCCTTCTCCTGAATAGCCCCTTCAATCTTGGAAAACAAATCACTCCCCGATTGTTGCACGGACCCTCACACCCATCTCTTTGCCTCTCTCTCTCTGTCTCTGTCTTGTTGCTAAAGTCTGTGTTTCTGAAACCCCCGGAGAGAGGAGGACCATGACTCGTTGACAGAATTTTGATAATGCATTAAAAAAGACAGAGTAATTGATGATAGGATGCTCTACTGAACGTGGGAAGAAAACGAGAGGTCCATTGATGCCGTTGCTAGCACTTATTTCTTGACAGGACATGAAGGTTAAACCACCAATGGCAATATGAGAAGGAAGGGAATGAAGAAAGGCTGATCCACCTCTCCATCACCTCTTGATGGCCCCCGTAGCTCTCAGATTGTGTCTCTGTCCCATGTCTTCTTCACACTCCTCCCTCTCTTATGCTCACTACAACAACCCGATTCCGAAACAAGATGCAGAGAGGTCCCGCCACTCGTCTTCGTTGACTACGCACTTACAAATGAAACAGGGAAGCTGGAATAGAGCTCACCATGTTGAATGTGGAAAGCAGGTTTCAACGTGTCCATGGCTAGGGACTCTCGAGCAAGAGAAGATCAAAAACACCTGAGAAACAAAAACAAGCCATAAAAGAATGGAAGGAAGGATGAACACCATAAACCCTGAGCTGTTCCGTGGGTCATCTTTAAGCTTGATTTCACGTGGGTTATCTGTATGTCTTTCTTGCGCCTCCTCTATATCCTACTTCAGATTTTGAATCCGTCATGGCGCGGAGAGGTTGTGTTGGCATAGAGACTCTCTTGAGGGTTTGTAACGGCGAAATATATGTTAGTAGTATTTGATGAGCCTGGCTTAGCTACTCACTCATATGTCAATTGCGTGATTCACTCGCGGTCTGCACTCAAAAAATCTCCTGTGTCGTAGAGACGGCCTAACGTGCGACTCATTTGCAAACCAAGGCATACCGGGATAGTGGAGTATGCATGATGGCCTTTATAGGACCTCAATTGGGTTGTTCTGGACTGCGTTCGAGAATATATTGCGTTCAGATGGATCAACCGTTTAGTGCTTGAACGGATAGGAGGTGTACTTATCAGGTGGAGCGCGAAGCCTGACTTTACTGACTCTCCAATTGGTTTGGGCCTCCATTAAGATGAATGGGATGAATGAATTCATGTCCCAGTAGCTTTCGTCAACTGAAGACTGTGTGAGTGAACGTGCTGGACTTATTGAGCATCTGGTCGAAACTTGTGCTCCTTACCAGCGATGCTTCGCAAGTAAGAGGATGAAGATAGGGGTAGGTGGAGTTATTCAGCGGGGATTTGGTGTGGTAGTGGATCTGAAGGAGAATGGGCTGCCAAAGGAGGAAGAAATTCGGAGGTTAGGAAACCCAAAGCAGTTATTCAGAGCTCAACCAAGGCACGGTCTCGTTCAAATGACCAAAGAAAACTCCAAGCTGGAGATCGAGTTCAGATACCTTGTCATTCACCTCAATGGTGGCAAATGCTTAGGTCATAAAGCAAGAGCTTCGCACATACAAGCTCCTTTTCAATAGCCTAATTGGCCGAGTTTCCATTCCCTCTCTTCTCCCTACCAAGAATAGCCGGGCATCCTGGCATTCTTTTCGTTGAAAGTATAGACGCCTGCTTCTGTCCACCCTTGTCTCTCGAGGACGACTGGTCTCCAGTATGACTTGATTCCAGAGGACCGCTGTGGAAATGCCTGCTCCAGCATTCGTCTCGCCCAGATCATGGTCAGACTCCATTGACACATCGCGTGTGACGTCAGGCTCCGCTCTACTAGTTCCGTACTTCAGAAGACTATTCGGCATTACGCCTCTGTCCGATTCCACCTCAAATTTGGCATACTTGTGATCCGAGAGCCCAGCTTTATACATCTCAGGAACCGCGCTTTGCGTCCTAATAACGATGCTTTCCCTCCTACCCCGCTGGGTAGATGCTCTGTTGGCTCAATATGCTAGTGTAGCTTGAGATCGCAGAACACTGATGTAGTGTGATCGAAACTTATGCTCTTATAAGGAAGCAGAATTTCAGGTAGAAAGAAATCACCAACACCATCGTACTCAGTGGTCTCCATTCGATTTTGATTGAAAAATGCCGTTGGCACCTTACAGCCAACAAGTCGAGACGGCACAATAGGTGGTACTCTGTCGCATTGTGACGGAAAGAAACGGCTGGAGAGACGACAGGTCAGGTGCTGTGAAGTACAAAATCCGTCTTCCTCTTCATGTTATTCCAGCTATTGAGTCTCCAGACATTTCATTGCCTCCAGGTAGATGTTGCGTCTGCACTACCTGTAGTGCCCTTGACATTGTCCTCACAATGACACAGAGGTGACATTGAAAGCACATAAGATGGATTCCATGGAGCGAGAAGAGCATGTCTCACCTTGCTGAGGCTCGCACTCCTGTCCACCACGAACGCATCTCGGCGTCTACTGACAAAAGCACGTGTGGTATCTGCAGTATCCTTGAGCTCATGTGGATAAAGATGAAAAAGGGAGGGAAGAGCGCATAGGCTGCCTATCAAAGGAGTTTAGAAGGCAAAAAAGGCCCTCCCTTATTGAGGCTCGAACTTTGAGATAAAATATTGTGTTATCTCTCTATGGCAAAATCCAACAGCCTAATCCGACGACCTCTCTTAAACCCGAGGGGAGAGTGGTGATAAATTCAGTCGCGAGAGGAAACCGTACGGGGCCGATTTTATTTCTCTTGAACAACTGCGAGTCAGTGGTGGTCGGTAAGAGGATGCAATGATCACTCCCCATAGACTCCTCCACCTGCCCAATTGAAAGGATGAGTGTCTCAATACATATAACGTGACAGTGAAAAACAGTCTGGAATTACTATAGTAGACAAAGGAAATCTTGGTCCTTTGATTGGTCCCGTTTTAACCTTTTGGGCACGCAAGATTCTTTACCCGGTACGGAGCGGTGCATCAAAAGTCATCGATATACGCTAACTAGGATAATTAGAAGCTAGCTCTTCGCGTACTAGCGTACTAGCGTACTGCGAGTAAGCCGTAAAGGCGTAAGGATGCTCAAGGGGAACGGATGACTGAAGCTTAAGAGACTCATAATAGCAGCTCTAGGGCTCTACCCCTATAGCGCATCTCTTACGCGGCGCTAAGGCTTAGAGCGAGTTTGCTAGTGACGCTCTAACTTTAGCGTATACTGAAGACTTTTGATGCACCACTCCGTAGAAATCGGCCATTCAGTCCCTCGGCAGTGACATCCGGGACGCAGCGAAGCTCTGTAATCGTCATCCTTGGTATGGGAGCACTCTAAAAATGCTACAATGGCTGCGACTCTTCTGCAATGCAGCTTTATCATCAGAGGCATTGGATGACGGCGCATTGCTTAGCATGTTACGCTTCATTGAACACTTCAACTAAGAGACTTTGGCAGGTCTTCGAGTAGCAGTCACAAAGAGCGGATATTTACCAGTCCACTTGAAGAGACTCTTCATAAAGCGTAAGATGTCTCTACGCGACCTTGAAAAGCAAAACCAGTTTCATAGTGTGGATCCTGACCGCCGCCCCTCTTCGCAAAGCCATAGCTTGTGTAACTGCGGTGAAAAGGTTGAGGAACAAGGACTACATGCCCTGAATAGTTCTGCACTGTGCTCAACCACATCCCGACGACAGATTTATACAACTCTACAGCCCACGCGATCTCACCTTACATGCCTTAGCGACGACGCTGCTCCTGATTCAACACCCTCTCAACATGCCTCTGCTGATCACGCCAAGTATGAGGTTGGATGGGACGGTGAAGACGACCTCTGGAACCCTCGAAACATGCATATGGCAAGAAAGTGGTTGATCACATTCACCATGGCTCTTTGCTCTATGTGTGTGACGTGCACATCTTCATTGTACACAATGACCTACAACCAGATGGATAAGGAGTTTGGCAACTCCCGAATCGTGGCCACCCTGGGTCTTTCTCTCTTTGTGTTTGGCCTGGGTCTTTCTCCCATGGTACTGGGCCCGTTGTCCGAATTCTATGGCCGCAGACCAATATACATTGGCGCCTTCATCTTCTTTACCATCTGGCTCATTCCTTGTGCCGTAGCACCCAATATTGAGACCATGCTCGTTGCTCGGTTCTTCGATGGACTATCCGGAAGTGCATTTCTATCAGTTGCAGGGGGAACTATCGGAGATATGTTCTCACAGAGTCAGCTTCAAGCTCCCATGATGGTCTACACCGCAAGTCCCTTCATCGGGCCAGGACTGGGCCCCATTATTGGTGGCTTCATCAATTATTTCTTGAACTGGCGGTGGTCTTTCTATATCTTGCTCATCTGGTCCGGATTGATGCTGGCTGCCATTATGTTTCTCATACCAGAGACCTATCATCCTGTGGTAAGTACTCACTCAATCACGACGCTCATAGTATGCTGACAATCCGTAGCTCTTGAGGAACAAAGCTCGAAAGTTGCGCAAAGAGACGGGTGACGACAATTACAAAGCACCGATTGAGATCATGGATCGTTCTATTGCCCGAACGGTTATCAGATCTCTTTACCGTCCATTCCTTCTGCTCGTGTTGGATCCGATGTGTCTCAATCTCTGCCTCTTTTCATCAATCTTGCTCGGAATACTGTACCTATTCTTCGGAGCCTTCAATCTTGTCTTCACGAAAGTACACGGCTTCAATTTGTATCAGATTGGATTATCCTTTTTTGGGTTGCTGGTTGGTATGCTTCTTGCTATTGCCTCAGATCCGCTTTGGCAACGCAATTACCTCCGACTCGTGCGTAACAATTCCAACAAGTCCGAGCCAGAGTATAGGTTGCCGCCTTCTATCGGCGGCGCAGTCCTCACCGTCATTGGACTCTTCTGGTTCGCTTGGACAATTCACCCGTCCATCCATTGGATTGTGCCCATCATTGGTTCTGGGTTTTTCGGAGCAGGCACCGTGCTGGTTTTCTCAGGAGTCTTCACTTTCTTAGTTGAAGCTTTCCCACTGTATGCGGCGAGCGGGCTCGCTGCGAACTCCTTTGCGAGAAGCTCCTTTGCAGCACTGTTTCCGCTGTTCGCGCTGCAGCTTTACAACAAGCTGGGATACCAGTGGGCTTCCTCACTATTGGCTTTTCTGACGCTTGTTATGGCTCCCTTCCCATACATCTTCTTTCTCTACGGCGGAAGACTTCGTCAAAAGAGTAGGTTTGCTTCAACGGGTAACTAGGGATCTTGCGGTTTAATTTTGCATATATGAGTACTTGCAACGCAAGTGCCGATACCAAACGTTCCTGTTTAAACTCAGCAAGCGAGTATTAATGATTCTGCATCACCCCTTAGCGTCAGCTGAAGAAAGCCAAGACCATCAACACGGCCCAAAAAGTCACCTGACATGATGGCATGAGCCACGATTTTGCTTGGTGTGGAAACAATGCTTCGTAAGAAGTTGGAAGCCGTCCCACTCCGAGGGGTTGTGTCTGTCCATGTACGTCACGTTTAGGTACACCGTACGCCAGAACATTGAAATATAGGCCAACATTACTTGGTGCTTCCAGAGGCGAGATTAAAGAATAATTCCTTAGCCACAACTACTACTCCAAACCATATTGAAGCGACGTGTCACCAATTCGTGGTAGCAAAGCTAACCAGGGGGCAAATTGTGGCTGGCTGTACAAGAACGCTGTCACTAATCAGGAATCTTGGCTGCACCCTCTTTTGAGCAATCGCCTGTTTTGGAAAGTGGAGCTAGGCTGGCATTGATCACTCATCAAGACTCGCAGCATGCCACTACGACACTGAATCTTGCGGCCAGTAGGGGCAAAATCTTGGACAGCTGGTCGGCACAGCTACCTATTGGGGTCCCAACTGGCATTTCTGCTACCCAAAAAACCTTGCATGGCGTAGCACGTCGACAAGGGTATCCTGCAACATTTGACGAGGGTGTGTCTTTCAAACTCAGGTAAAACACGCAGCAGAATTGATTGGTTCCGTCGATGAGCTTCTGTTGCTGCTCAAATATCACGAGCCAGCGTCTCTTCATGGGCTATTTCCAGACTTGACTGTTAAGTGGTACACCTGTCAGATCGGAAGGGAAGCGATCAAGACGCTCCAGAAACCCCACTTTCGCTCCAATTGGGAGTCTTTGCAAGCATCGCCCAACAAGCAGGATTTCTCCATCTACAAGCAGATATGAGAAGGGACGAAAACCTCAGGAAAATTCAGCTCATAATAACATCAAGTTATTCAACTCCATGTGGCAATTCCGGAGCACAAGTGGACAACCTGTCTCAGAATTATCGGTGCCAATCCTGAACCTTCTATAGAGGCCCAGGTGCGATCTGAAGTCCTCCAAGAAAGAGGTCCAATCTGCATTGCAACCAATAAGATAGCGTTAGAGGCCACTTACGTGAAAGTCGCTCCACCTTCACTAGGAGGAGCAGATCACTCACCATGCGAGGCCACTTATCTGCTTCAGGTCGATTTCGAACCGGCCAGAAATTCAGCAGATACGTATTTACTCGAGTATTGTCCAGTACAATTCATGTTGTCGAACTTCCGTCACCCATGAAAAGTTCTTGGTACCGCTCTTTCTGTGTCTTTGATCCAAAGGCTGGGTAGCGGTCCACGGTTCGACATGGCTACATGCTATTGTAGCCAGGCCGCAGCTCACGTGCCCAACGACACCAGATCAGGCCTTCAGACTGCTGGGGGCCGAAAGAGTGGTGCGTCGTCAATAAACCCTGTCAGGCTTGAATCTGTGTTGCAGGAGCATAAACCTTGATCCCCACAAACAACCAATCTCAGGGCGCGAAGCCGGTCCGATTCGAAATGTTTCGTCCGCCAAATAAAGTAAATCAAGCAAGCAATCTGAAGATCTTGGGAGATCGTTCAAGCGGAGTTATGGCTGCCATCTACAATGACGACCCGGGCTTGCCGCACGACTTCCTTGATTGCTGACCTTGTGGTCATTGTGAACCTTGTGCCCTCCAGAGTTCAATGGTTGGACTGAATAATTCTACGCCAACGTTTGCAGCGTGCAGATTCGGATTTCTCGCAACGCTTGCAAGTGGGCTACATTGTAAACAACGAGTCTAAGAGGCTGGATAGTCAGACCAAATGGATATTAGTTTGCAGGATGTTCGATAACCTAATTGCACGAGTAATGAGTGCAAGAGCACGTCACGAAACGGAGCGGGAGCGGAGGTCGAGTGATTTGGGAGGCAGAGATGTCATATGCAACGAGCCGGACTTGAGGCCACCACAGTCCTGATGGGGTCAGCTAATATAGGTGCCACTGCTGCCCATCATCGAGGGACAGGATCTGGGTAGGTGCAGGGACAGCAAAGAGTCATTTCGCCCTGGAATTCAGCGGCGCCGGAGGAATGGGTATTGGATGGAAATGAATGGCCCTGTTTATGTGTGGGTCGTCTCCTTTTTGGATGGTGCTCGCTTAGGTAGTAGCATGAAGAGGCTGCAACGGCAGGAATGGGCAAATCAGTCAGCAGAGACATTAACGACTGACAAGTTGCTTCTGGATCAGCACCTGAGGAAGAAGCACGTTGAGGTTGATGGGGGACATGGGTGGGGCCGCTGAGCATATTTCTGGGCGCCATACTACGTAGTAGAGTCCGTAACAAGGAAGCTGTTGAGTAGTCGTGTTGCAGGTTATTCTTAGTCATTGTTCTACAATGGAGGAATGTTTGATGACTTTGCCGCACTTGACAGGGTGAGTTGGTACTTGCGGACGGCGTGTGTGAAGGGGGGCAGAGAGAAGGTTGGTGGAGAAGAGGTGCCAGACTAACCGGATGTGGAGGGGGCAGGCGGGAAGTGGGAGAGCCTGAGAGAGACACAGCGCAGTTGAAAACAGTTGAAATGCTGTTTTACTGCCAATAACACTCCAAGCCACGCTCACTGGCCACATCATCCCCCACACCCTCGCTCCCTGCAGCACTCCGGACGAACAATGTCCAGAAGAGGAAGAAGCGGCAGCGGGTGAGTTACCACTAACAGACGTCGTAGTTGAATGGAAAGAAGCAGGCCAGGGAGCGCTGACGCACCTCTGCCCCCTCTAGGGACTAGAGTCTCCTGTCAATCGACCCCCGGCAAGGCCTGTCCCATGGCTTGACTTCGGCCATACTCTCCACCTACTCTCTCCTGTATGTCGCTTGTCCGGCCAGCCTGGTTACTCGCACTGTCGCAAACACCAACCGACGGCCCTGGTTGGCTCATGTGCAATCAATATCCATGACCACCATCTTCATGCCATTCGAACGCCACTTTCACAGGCCAATACCTCCATAATCAGCAAGCGGCCATGTATGCGGTCTCGGCCTTATTGTCTATACGTTAAACCGTGAGACAAGTTCCAAACCGCTCTCCAAGCAATCTTCTCTCGCCCGTTCTCCCTCCAGCCTCCTCTGCCTGAGTTGGAGAAGCAGAGACACAAACTACTACGCAAGTGCGATCCTTGTCACACTTCGCAATCGTTACACCGCCGCACGTCTCGAGCTGCTATTCGACCGCCGCGTGATCGAATCGGCCTTGATCGCCTTTTCCATCGACCTGCGCTGTGTCATCTGCAATCGTGTGCTGGCCTCCCTAGCCAAGGCATTGGCAACTGAACTGGAAAGTGTCCCGACAGTCTGGTTCGCCCTCCTTCAGGAAGCATCCAAGAGAAGGTGGAGAGCTCGGCTGGCATTCCACGTATCTCCAACGTGGGCATATCTATAAGCAGGCTTGTTGAGCAGCACGGCTGGACGACTCGTTGGACCAAACAAGTGGAGGAGTCTCACTGGTTCGGGCTCCACCCAGTTGTAGCGCCGCTGCACTCTCGATTCGCTTTGGAGCCCCCTCCCCCCCCTATCTATAATACTATGCCCTCCTCAGATGCCGAAGATGACCACTCACGTTCCGCCTCGCCCGATGACAGCAGTGGTGAACAAGAGGGCGGAGACATGGCGGAACACCCAGAGAATCGAGAAGGCGGTACACACCAGAACGGCCATAAGCCTGCTTCCAACGCAAAAGATCCACTGCGTCCAAGAAGAAAGAAGGCGCGGAGAGCGTGCTTCGCCTGTCAGAGGGCGCATTTGACGTGTGGTATGTCGGGTTGATCTGACCTGTCGACTTTTTCCCTTTTTCTGTCGCGCTCAATACCAGCTGACAGGTCTGCAAGGTGATGAACGGCCATGTCAAAGATGCATCAAACGTGGACTCCAGGATGCGTGCCATGATGGGGTTCGAAAGAAGGCCAAGTATCTTCATGACGCACCGAATGAGGCATTGATGCCGGGAGTTGGTGGTCAGAACCTCTTCAACCATGCTGCTGCTGCTGCCACGCTCCGAAACAATATGGCGATTCAAACCGCGGAAGCAGTGCAACAAGAGCCTAGCCCATTCTATCAGAATTCTCCACCTTTCAGCAATTTTGCCCAGCCCAGGTCGATGCCTCCGCCGTTGATGCAGGAGGGTAACATCACCGTGCCGCAGAACTTCACGCAGCAGTCTCCGGTCTCTCCTCCCTTCAGCATGGCAGGTCCACCAAGCATTCACACTCCGAGCATGCCACAATCCCAGCCGGATCCTGCCGCTGGCGTTGCGCAAAACTGGAATGGAGCCCTTTTCGATCCGAACGATGCGTCACTCTTCAACTTTGACCTGGCCAGCATGAACTTTGGTAACCACTATGGAGCTCTCGAATTCGGTATGTTAGGGCACATGGCTACCGGAGCCGGCGGAACGCCTCCTAGTGACTCTGCCACTCAGCGGGGCTCTGTTGGCCATCCCAACGGCTCGAATCCCTACCCGCTTCCCCTGGGAAGCTTTAGCGAGAGCCCAACCCAGCAGTTTCCCTACAATGATGCTGTTATGGCGGATTGGCCTGGAGGGCAGAATCCGTATGGGCAACCATTCGGTCAACCGGCAGAGCCTCCGCATGCATTCGCTATTGAAATGAACACCGCCAATTTCACCTCGCCTGATTCGACATCAAGTCCGCAACAAGGTCTTAGCAAATTCGAAGACTCGCCTTCCATGAACTACAAAAGCGCCCACATGCCTCCCACTCCCACGAGCAGTATTCCCTACACGCCGAACAGCCAGAACAGCCAACATGCTCCGAGTCATCTACGACAACCGCCGCATCTTACCACGCCTCAGCTCAAAGCCAGATCTCAACTGCCCACCAAACATGCCAAACGTCCTCGTGACCCGTCCAGCATCTACACCACCGTTACAGCGCCTTACCCATACACATCAGGCTTTCACTCGCTGATCGCTTATCTGCAACGTCGCTTCGCTGCATCGCCATCCAAAACCCTGACCATCGCCAAGTCTCTGGCGTCCATCCGTCCGAGCTTCATTGCCACCACCAAAACCCTGAATCGCGATGACCTGATCTTCATGGAGAAGTGCTTCCAGCGCACTCTCTGGGAGTACGAGGGATTCATTGAGGGTGTAGGTACGCCAACTATTGTGGCGAGGAGGACCGGTGAAGTCGCCGCGGTCGGCAAAGAATTCTCGATCCTTACTGGTTGGAAGAAAGATGTATTGCTTGGGCGAGAAGCCAACCTCAATGTCAATCGAGGTGGGACCGCAAGTGGGTCAGGCACGGGAAGTGGTGTCAACACTGCGGCTAGCAGGACGACCGGGAGGAATACACCTAACCAACGCAATGTAGCTGGCCCTCCTCCTCCGGCTCCTGAGGAGGGCAACGGAGATGGGAAGAGGTCTCAGCCTGTCTTCTTGGCGGAGTTGCTGGATGATGAAAGTGTGGTTGAATTCTATGAGGGGTTTGCGCGACTTGCGTTTGGTGATAGCAGGGGGAGTGTTATGTCCAAAGGGAAACTATTGAAGTATCGGACCAAAGAAGACGTTGTGGCTCAGAGTCTAAAAGAGGAGGGTGTGGGCAGCGATATGAAGATGGAGGATGTGCAATACCAGCAGCGGTTACAGCCACAGCAACAGCAACAACAACAGCAACAACAACAACAATCTCCGCCAGCAAATCTGAAGAGGATCAACAGCGGAATGGCGCGACAGCAAAGGGAGCTGAAGAGAGGAGGTATCGCCAATGAGAGGGAGATGGGACAAAGGCTGGGTGAGAGGGATGGAAAGGTGGAATGCACGATCTGCTGGACGGTTAAAAGGGATGTCTTTGATATTCCCATGCTGATCGTCATGAATGTGAGTGTTTTCACTTCTTGCCGTCTGCATTACTGGAATTTCCGTTGCTGATCCTGTCTACTTAGTTCCTCCCTTGCATTTGAGAGCCGTAGCTGGATGACTACCCTCCAGGCAGATTTGCTGCCAACTAGGAAGGAGATACACGTGTTATGTGATTTCTGTTGTGCAGACAGATTTCCAGGATAGATTGCTGTGGCGTACGGGCGGCACACATGATTTCATTGTGTCCAAGAGACATATGCGCGGGACTGTATCGGTTTCAGGAAAGGAGTATTATCATAGTCAAGAGAAGGGAAGCCGAGGCATGTCCGGGTCCGGCACTCGGAGCTTGCCGAAACTTTGACTCTTTCACTTCAGACCATTGGTCCATTGGGAAGCGGCAACAGAAGCAAAAAGGGAGCTTAATGGATGGATCAAGAGCAGATGCGCAAGGAAGGCAATGAATGCATGGCGAGGTATGGTACAAAGCGTCGAGCGGACTTCTTCTGCCTTGTTTGAGGCAAGCACATATTTGGTATTATGGGAGAGGTCGGATGCTGGTCTATACATTCAAGTACATAATACTAGTACTAAGTTGGTATTATTGTATGAGCATTCTTGGCGAATGAGATGTATTTCTAAATGCTGGCTTCGGTTTTCATGCATGATAGGATATGTCCGTCTTGGTTTCGGAGAAGCCACCATACAGCCTGGGGTACCGGCTCCTTAAGGGCAATGTTCATTTTAGTGAAGGGTAATTTGGGGGAGAAGGCAACGTTGTCGACACAGTATTTGTCGGATATGAGCTTGGACTTCTTGCAGAAAAACGATTGACAGCTCCTGTTGTACCTTTGCAGACGGGAAGAGCATGATGAACCTCGCGGGGAGGCCATAGGGCAGCCTGATATCTCCTTTGCCCTGAGTAAGTCTGAAGATGACCGATGACCACGAGGAGGATGGATGGCCTGGGATGAATCCCGCGAGCACTCTTGCTTGGCTCGAGTCTCGCAATCACACCTCGATGGCCCTGCAGATGAATGCGTGAGACGGAGACGGCTTCCCTCTCGTACCTGATCGCCCATGAGCGAAATGAGCGAAATGAGCGAAATGACCGTTTTGGGATAAGGCTGACTGAAATGCGGGTACAGCCGTCAGGTGGACGGAGCTTAGCTAAGTGGTCCTCGATGCTCACTCACTGTTCCTGTTCGAACGTATCAAGAACGTATCAAAAGTCTTTCCCACTCCTCGATTCTCTTTTTAGGCCACCAAACCAGTCAACCGTCAGCGACGTATACAAAACCCACCCCTGCTTTCCAACATCAATGCCAGCGTTTTTCTTTGTTCGAAGTGGTCGCTGGTGCTGTTGAAAATCCCTCACCACTTTGCGCCTCGGCCTCCCCTGAGAGGGTTATCACCGAGCGGGTCATCAACGAGAGTAATGCGTCCAGATGGACCGCGCGATCCCGTTGCCGGACCAGATTCGGGCCCTGAACCTCCTTTCCCAATCAAGCTGTCGGGACCTGTGATCAAAGGCTTTGGACGGGGCAGCAAAGAGGTAAATGAATGTCTCATCCTCCCCCACCCAATCATCAATCTTGTCTTCGAACCCGACGACCCCCCATGTCGATTCCTGCCAAAGTTCACGTAAAAGAGAGCCCAGGTTTACCCGGTCCATGGCATTTGCATCCTGACTGCATATTTCCTCAACAGCACCCTTGGGCGTTCTGGGAAGTGCCCCGTGCATGTCGGCCTTGTCTCCCATCGAGCCACGACCAAGCTGCTGCTACTGCTGCTGTGCTCGTCTAAAACATGACCTACACATGCTGGTCCTGGCCGTTCTTGGTTACTCGGTGGCACGGACGGATTTCAGCCGACCGGTTCTCTCTTGACGCTGTCTCACTGGCCATTGTCCTATCTGTTTCACCGAATCCATTCTTCACACCGCTCCTTCGTTCTACCTCACCAAAGGCAAATCTTGTCGCACCTCGAAAATAGCCATTGGATTCGGAGATCTTGGGTCTCGATCCAGATCTGCGGCTCACAACATATTGTTTCCAGAAACCTATCCCATGGGAGAGAGGCAGCGGATCCCATCGGCGATCGCTCATGAGGCTGTCATCCCTGCCACAGATGATCACCACCTCTTCGCCCTG